CACTAATAGACACTGCGAACGGCTCTCTGGCGGAGCTTGCGGTACGCATCTGCCATTCATCATCGCCGGACGTGAAATGAGTGGCCACTCGCTCGTTTGTGTGCAGAGCAATACCTGGCACAGCAGCCTGTTGGCACGGCGGTCTGGTGGCTCGCAATCGGAAGGTTGCAAGAACAAATCTCGGTTGGTGGTTGACTCAACCCATCATCCTTATGGGCTCGATAAAATAGGGGCTATTTTGTGGGGAAATCAACAGCTGTCGGACTTGCCCCTCGCTCATAGGAATCTGGAATTGTCCACCACTGGCTGTAAGCAGGGAGATGACCGCTGGCTGAGTGCTTGTTTGGGCAGCAGGAACCAACTTTGAATGTCTGGCGAGCATCGCTGCGACTTTCAGGATTCTGTGGCTCTTAATCCGGGGCACGAACACGGGCAATGCACCCCCCCCCCCCCCCCCCCTCTGTGCGTACGGTCGCTCCATCAGCTGCCTCGGCTTAGTCTGGCAGGCGGTGCGAAACGTGAGCAGTGTGAGACCTGAAGTGTCGCCGGTTCACTGCGTTTATCATTGTTATGCATTTTTTTTTACTATTAATGCCCATTTTATGATTAAATTAAATACATATTTTTGGGGGATTTTTTTATTGTTGTTTTTGCTCACGAATTCTTACTGAAGGACTGTTCAGAACAGAACCATGAATATCAATAAGCCACTGTAATTAACTTTGGCAAGGCAGAGAGCCAAAGCAAAAGAAAAATTCCCAAGGAGACTTACGGCCCGGGGTTGAGCCTGAATAGAGCCTGGATCGGCAACCACCATGCATGCCAAGCTGCTATAGGCTGCTGCGAGCCTACATTGTCAGCAGAGGGCAGTGCTGCATTGTCGACTGTTGCACCAACCCGCACTGATTCAGCTGGGTGAAGTCATCATCGTCATCATCATCCTTCCCAAGCCGCCCCTATCTCTCACGGTTGCGCAATGCAACAATCACGTCTGCACGGAGCCGATTTCATCACTCCTCTCCCCTCGGTAGCTCCCTTGGACGCGCGCCCCGTTCCATCGATGAAGTATGGTCGGATAACCCCGATCACCTGTACGGGCGCGGAAAGGGGGATTGACAAAGCGTCTCGCGCGCGTGGCCCCCCGCTCCGCTGGGAGTGAAGCCGCTCGCTCGCTGGCGGCGTCCGTAATACCACGGGAAGCTTCAGCCCGACGTGACCGGAATACGCTCCGAGGGTCACGCGCGCGAGATAAAACAGCGCGTGCCCGCAGGTTCGTGCGATTAAGACATGACTCGAACGGCCGAGGACCTCGCAGAGGGCCGGTTCAAAGGCGCCGGTGGAGCTCTTCCAACCCACCTCTGGTCAGCTTGAAGGCGACTTTAAAGTGTAAACGCACAAAGGAGTTAGGCCACGCCGCTTTTGCCTTTTGAAACCGTCGTCTGTGATCAATTTTGCATGGCCGTTGCCTCTGATCCTCACGCGACCTCTCTGTACTGACCCCCTCCCCCCCCCCCAAAGCTTCCACAACTTTCCCGTGGGTGGCACCTGCGGGGCGTGTGCCAGTGTCTGGCGGCATGGTGGCGTTGCCTTCGAGTGAAAGGACACCACGGCATTTTGTTATTATTTTTAACATTGACATTCAAGGCGGTTCGTGAACCCGAGACGACCAATCTTGTGGAGATCATTGTCGTCGTGTGACACTGCGATCAGTGAATTCTCCTGGTGAACCGCCAACCCCAATCTGACTAGTGCCAGTGACAGAGCGTCTGTTCAATTTTACCCAGTTCATGATCTCAGCCGGGTCACCAATGACTGCAAGTAAAGACAAAGATCCCCGGTATAGCCTTCACAGACTGTTGGGGCAAGTGCTGTGAGCAAGCACCTATGCAAGCGGGAATGGCACACGAGGGGTGGGTGGCCAGAACCACGCCCGGCCGCCTTTGTCTTTCCAATGGTGATGTTTACACATAGCATCAGGTAATAATTTGAGGCCGAGTCGACCTCGGGGAGGCCTAGTACCGGTTCAGATAATCGTCACTGGGTGTTGGCCGTGAACGGTAATAAAATTCGGGTCACCGGATTCACAGCGCAACACGCTAACCGCTACACCACTCTACACACACACACAATATCACATTTCACTTTGTTCTGCACTTAAAGTGGCAAAATTCCAGCTCTTGAGAATTAAAATATTCGTTTTAATCGTCATGCGATGACCACTCCTCAGCAGGTGGGAAAGTCCTGCTCTGTACTGTGTGGATTAGTGCTCCCTTGAAGGGATCTCAGAGGTAGCGCTGTGATTTCCGCACCGTGGGACATCCTGTCACGTGCAGGGTTGCACGAGGCTGAAAGACATCTGACGCCGAGAGCAGAATCGGGGTAACATTGTGAGAATATCGTAAAGCGTTAACCCCGGCATTACGGAACCTTCTTGCGCTGCGACTTCGGCCGTGCCCTTCCTTGATTTAAAGTCAGACCACAAAACATGGCTCTGTCGTGGGGAATGCTCAAATAAGTACGGCCTATAAGAAAAAGTGCGGTCACTGGTTGAATGCTATACGATTAATAGTTTTGTGCGGTAGTGCAATGTTGCATGAAGAATATATGTATTACTCTTTGGTTCTTTCGGTAAAGTCACGTAGAAAGAAAATTAATTAAATAATAGAATACGACGTTTCGATTGCAACACAAGCAATCGTCATCAGGTAGAACTAAATTTGAGAGAGAGAAAACACAGACACGGAGACACACAGACAGACACACAAGCAGAGAGAGAGACAACACAGTGACACAGAGAGAGAGACACACAGAGACCCAATGCCTCTGTGTCGGTCGCTTCGGGGTGGATTTCCACACAACTCTCTCTAAAATGTACCCGTCTTGTTGAGTATTTCATTGACGTGCTAATTTCTCTACTCCAGCAGACTCACCTCTCTCTCTATTTAAGGCCTCGACACAGAGGCATTGGGTCTCTGTGTGTCTATGTTGTGTGTGTCTTTCTCTCTTTCTCTGTGTCTCTGTGTTGTAACTCTCTGCTTGTGTGTCTGTCTGTGTGTCTCCGTGTCTGTGTTTTGTCGCTCTCTCAAATTTAGTTCTACCTGACGACGGTTGCTTGTGTTGCAATCGAAACGTCGTACTCTATGACTTAATTTATTTCCTTTCTACGTGACTTTACCGAAAGAACCAAAAAGTAATTCCTGCAGTCACGAAAGCTTCAAATCAAATATCTTTATTGTAAGGTTGTACGATGGCAGTTGCAACGTAAACGTGATTTAACATTGTTATTCTTCAGACCGGTAGCATAGCGTGGTTGGCATGCCTCCTGGTGCAAGGAATGAAATGGAGTCACCCAAGACCCCCCCCCCCCCCACCGTGTAATTGCCCCCCTCTCTTCATATCCCGGTGCCTGGGCCTCTTCAGTTCGTGGGGCCCTGGTGCCGTCTGACCGTCTGCACCACACTCCTCATTAGCTATGCCACTGTTTTACACTACGCCACTGTTTTACACTACGCCATTGTTTTACACTACGCCACTGTTTTACACAATGACCGTGTGAAGTCATACCGTAGTTGTGAAGCTCAAGTCTATAAAAGCCCCCCCCCCCTCCCCAAAAAAAAAATAGGATTCTTAGCTCATAATTATGACTCACCATAGTCGATATGTCGCTACCTCGTCTGCAGGAGGGTCGTGGGTTCGATCCCGAGCCTGACGCCTGCGTATTTGGAGTTTGAATGTTTTTCCCGTGCTCACATGGATTTTTCTCCGGATCCTATGGTTTTTCCCTCCACATTTAGAAACACGCGTTTCGAGTATTTGTCTGCAGTACATTTCCATGCGATAAGCCACTTCATTGAATCTCATTTGTGGCCACGTCGCTTCTGATAGAGAGTTATGTGGCCCAGTGGGCATTATCTGGTGAAATAAAAAAATAGCAGTAGTAGTAGGTTTGAATGTGCAGATGACTTGGTCAGCAAGAAAAATATGGAGCATCACTCTTTGGTTCTTTCGGTAAAGTCACGTAGAAAATAGAATCAAATAATAATAGAACACGACGTTTCGATTGCAACACAAGCAACCATCGTCAGGTGAGAATTAATGATTAAACACAGACACGGAAACAACATAGGCAGACACACATCCAGAGAGAGGGAGACACACACAAAGACACACCGAGCGAGACACACACCAAGGCAATGCAGCATTAGTTGTACAATGTGGAGTTGGTTGCTCCAAGGATTGAGGCTTATCACAGAGCAAACGCACCGTTCACCTCACAGGCCCTCGCACAGTGCAACAGTTCTCAGTGTAATGTGACAAATATTCACCCGCAGACCTCATTAGAGGTATCGCAATCGGTATGGGCTCAACATTTGTTTTAATTGCCAGTACAACTTGATAGTGCACTGCATATGCTTTCGTTCATCTCTCGCAGCAAAAATAAAAATCCCAGTCGGGTAAACACTCCTTTGCGATTTCTGCAAAAATGTGCTCGCTCTACTGTTTTCAACCACACCGTTAACCAGTGCCATCTTTCAATGCCAGGGCACAGAATTAAGGTGACCTGTTGGATAAGAAAATATATTTTTCAAGTTGCTTCATAATATTGGTCTGGATAGCAAATACACCAATGGACTGAAATATATTTGTATTTATATTTGCAGAGACAGAACGGAATTCTGCTTATTCTTGCTTATATCCATGATGCCTCAGGGCAACAAAGGTTTTTGTACAGTTTGGAATATATAACATTTTTTTTATCAAATAAAGCAACAATCGTCATTGTGAATGTGAAGCTCTTCATCTGGGAGATGACAAAGATTAAAATTACAGAGAGTACTCGAGTTATTCGTACTCTCCGGAGAGAGTACTACAGTTATTCGTACGAGAAATGTTTAAGATAACAATTTGCGCACCGTTTATTCGTGGGTAGTGCACGTGGGAAATGTAAATCTCCCTTTTGAGTATTTTAAACCAACACTGCCTCTCCTTCCTCTTCACAGGGCTGCAACGACCGCGGGATAATGAGTCTCGTGTCACGCTGATTGCCGCTCGGGCGAAAAACACAATTGTACACCCACCCATCCGCCAGTTCACAGCCCACGTCCTTGACTCATGGCTAGCCGTGACTGCCGGTGAGCAGAAGTCAAGGGCGAGTGAGAATGTGAACGAGGGAGTTCAGGATAAGCGGCGGCCAGCGACGATCGACGAGCGACGTGGGACGAGCTCTCGGGAGAGCAAGCGTCGCACCATCGGAAGCGTCGCACCATCGGAAGCGTCGCACCATCGGAAGCGTCGCACCATCGGAAGCGTCGCACCATTGGAAGCGTCGCACCATCGGAAGCATCGCACCATCAGAAGCGTCGCAGCATCGGAAGCGTCGCACCATCGCAAGCCCAGCGCCGGCAAGATGAGCGGCAAATGGACCACGCTGAGTCCCGCGGAGTTCTCGTTGCTGCAGAAATGCACCCAATGTAAGTCTACTCGGTCCGACGGACAACCAGATCCATAACGCCGGCGCGAGATTTATGCCGCAAATTATTGCACTCCGCTGGCGATTCCACTGGGAGCAATTCGCCATATGTAACAGGGCTTTGAAAATTTTCTGGCCGCTGTAACGTGTGTAATAGATTTATCACGGTTTTTTTTCTTCTCCAGATTAAAGTTACAGGGCTGCAATGACGAGCAAATGGTAGAGGATAAACGTTCAAGACAATTCATTCTGAATGCAATGTCTTATGCAATGATGATGCCCAAACATCCCCATCGGAGGAAAGCATTTTAATTTGCATTGCAGATAAACGTATGCGTGAATGCAATTATATGGTACCATACGAAAACCACATTCCGTGTGAAAACGATAGCTCGTAAAGCCTCTGAAGTATTGCTCTCTGCTCAGCATATTTTAAGTCATTGCTTTAATGAGATTTTTTTTTATCTTCAAAAAGCATGAAAAGGGAATGAAACTCAATATAGCCACTTTTGAAATACTGCATCTTTTTATTCAAATATATATGAGGAATGCGTTTCAGATTTAAATCAAAGATGATGCTCGACTTTGTGACGTGACACGACCATATTATTGCTTTCAATTTAAATTTACAAATCAATCAACAACAACAAAAACAAACGAAACGTTTTGGATCGTCGTCCGAATTTTCACATCGAGGCCTGGACTGATGTTCGGAATCTCCAGACGAATCTTAAAATCAGGAGCAACATCCCTGACGCGTGTTAATAACCGTCGACATAATAACGCAACTAGCAATTCAGGGAAGCACCCAGTGCCGGCTTTACAATGGATATACCCCGCCTGCCCCCCCCCCCGGCAAGGCAGCCCAAATAATCCCACGTGTCCCTCGTCCGTGTCCTGAGAGCGGCACGCGGAAATCCTGGTCATGAATAATTGATGCGGTGAAACGTGTCCCCTCCACTGTACTCGGCATCGCGGTGGGCAAGGGGTCTCGTCTCGTGGCGTCGGCTGCGGTGGTGGTGGTGCTGGCGGTGGTCACAGCAGCGGCGTGGGACCGCTGTGATTAATCCCAGATCACTGTCAACTTCCCACGGACCCTGCCTGAGCCTCCCACGTCTCCAGGCCTCCTCCCCCCTTCCCCCCCACCGTGACAACCGCGGTGCCCTGGGTCTCCTCCACTCCGGCGCCGATCGATGATGGGTCGGCGCGGTGGAGACCGCTCTTCGTTTATTTTTTAAATCACAGTTGTTGAGCACGTACACCAAGAGGCCCCAAAATGTCCAAGTGGTCCAGCAACAAACAGCACCGTGGAAGGTGTAAACCCTGACTATTAAAGAGTCGAGGTTTAATTTCTCGCTCGATGATTTTCCCGAGCGCTGCCATGGCTGGCTTGCAGCAGGGGGTTATCAGTGTAAGGCACTAGCATGAGAGTACAAAGTATGCCTATGAATAATCCACATTATTGTAACCTTTGTTCAGTATAGACGATAGAGGCGAGATGGATGTGGCGTGTCAAAATAATTTGGGGAACAGCATTCCGACTGAAATGAAACACTTAAAGGAGTCGATACGTATTTTTTTTGCGGTAATTGAGCAAGGTTACGATGAGAGCTTGGGGAAGAGACGGTGGGAGCAAATTCCAAAGTGGAGCAATGCGAAGGGAGAAGCAGAGAAGTATTGTGACCTGCAGTGTTCTGGTTGCACACAGTATGGATGAGACTTAGCTGTCACGAGCACACACACACACCGCACACGTGAATATTGGTTTTGTCTGTGCTCCTCTAGCCGGAACATTGTCCGGAATCGCTGGCGCCACTCCTGTGAAACGTGAACCATAAAACCTGCAGTGGCTCATTGAGCTGTAAATGACGTGGCAAATTTACAGCGCCAAATTTAATTTTCTCTCCTCTTTGCCCCCCCGAGGGCCTGAATTTTTTTTAAATGGCTCTGTTTACTCTGAGGCAGAGCTATCAATCGGCTTACAGTGTGAAGGAAAATGTTTGCTTCTTCTACTCAACGACAGAATGGAGATGCGTTTTGTGAAATTTACCGCAGGTTTTTTTCACAAACTTTGCAACTTCGTATTCACCACTGTGTATCGTCATCGGCTATGGTAAATTCAACTGCTTGATGATGATCTGCTGCTTCCCCCTCGTGAGCCTGTGATGTAATAATCCACCTGGCAGCCTGCACATTAAACAATTGAATCACCACTCCATCTCAGTGAACGTCCTCTCGGACAAGTTCCATTCCTCGGCTGTCACTCCATTATTATTCTTGACCATCGGCCATCCCTTCTGGCGGCAAGTCTTGCCCAAGCCCCACTACACTTTCCTTTAACGGTTTGAATGATGCACTGTTTACTGGCGTGTCTGAATTACATATTTTTAAAAAGCAGGAATTAAGACAATTAATCAATAATGTGTTTTGCATCATTTCGAGATGCCTTTAATTTCCATCACTTCGAACTGCCTTGGCGAATTTGTAAAATACAAAAAACTTCACCATTTTTTATTTTATCAGGTCATGCCCCCTGAGCTATTTAACTATTTTTTTTAGAATCGACCTGGCCCCAGATGATAGCTCAATGAAGTGGCTTATCACGTGGAAATGTATAGCAGCCAAATACACATGTTGATTCTAAATGTGAAGGGAAAAACCAGAGGACCTGGAAAAAGATCCACAGGACCACGGAAACACATGTTAAACTCCAATTATACATTTTTTATTACTTAAACGTTCGTGACTGCAGGAATTTATATTTTTTGGTTCTTTCGGTAAAGTCACGTAGATAGAAAAAAATAAAGTGAATTAAATAATAAAACAAAAACACATTTTAAAACCAGGCTACAGTCTACATTAGTGTTTATAATTTATTTTATTATAATGTTTATATCTACATGACTTTACCAAAATAACCAAATAATTCAAATATACAATCATCAGGATCGAACCGACGATCTCCTGCCCACCAGGCGAGGTAGTTAACATCTCGCCAACGTAGCATTTGTCCTCTCAGTAGTGCCGCCCAGCACAATGAGCTGCACATCAAGTGCTTCCCCTGCCTCTCCTCCCTGCAGTGGCAACATGGGATTATCCACGGATGCTGCTTTCATCTGCCCTTGTTAGGCAATTATCCATCGGCTAATAAGGCTGCATCTCCAGCTGAGCTCATTAGAGACAGCTGTAGGTGTTGTCAAGCAGCTATCACGTTGCAGATCGTTATCTACAAATACAGATAATAATAAATCCACTTCTGAATGAAGGCCTCCCCACGCCGTGTTGGACATGGGGGTTGTTTGACCATTCGTCATCGTGCTGATCGGGTTGGTGAGGGCAGATGATGACTAATTATTCAGATGGCCCTGATGTTATCCCTGGCCAGGAATATAACTCAGGTAATCGGGTTCATGGCCCAGTACGTTAACCACCGCACTACCACCCCACTCGCTGTTTATTCATATTTGGAGATTTTTTATTATACAATTAAACATCTACAAATATATTCTGGCTACCTTGAAGAACGGCCATTTCCCAAAAACATTCACCAAAGCACCCTGAACGCACCCAATCCTGTCATATATCAGAAGCCAAGCAGGTTTTAGCCTGGTTAGTACTTGGGTTGAGGGTAGCCAGAAGTTGTCAATAGAGCGGTACATTCTTAAATGGTATGTGTGGAGCATTGGTTGTTGTTTAACTTGCATCCCACTTGGATTTTTGCACACAGCGTTAGTGTACGGTTCTTTTTATGGAATATTTTGCTGTTTTTTCCTAGATTTTCTGTTTGCACTTAGTCACATAGTCACTCTAAGATGTTTTCTTGTTCATGTTTTTCTCTTTTGTTTGTTGCGGTTGCACCCGATTCAAGAGCCTAATGGCTCACAGGGCTCTACCTAATAAATGAAACTGAAACTGAATACGAAGCCAATCACTCAATCATGAAATTGGTCAAACATCCCAGTAGAATCAGCACCCTCTCGACAAAAAAAGTCTCGAGACTCAATGAGGTTTTTAAGGATAAATAAATGGCATTGCTGATATATTAGTAACGTTAATATCTATTTGTGGTCACATGACAGTGGTAATGACATTGGCAGTGCTTTATTTTCGGTCTGCGGTTTTATTGATTTACTTTGGCACAGGAAATCCCTTTGTACCTGCGACTAACGATCATGCCCTCTTTTCTAGACTCCAACAAGAAGCTGAAGGATGTCCTGGAGGAATTTCAAGGGGAGGGAGTGCTGGCGAAGTACAACCCAGAGCAGGTAGACACAAGTTATCGTCGTCCTACGATCTGTCACGTGTTCAGCTCAATTATAAAATTATTCAAGGCCGGAGTAGAGCTGGGATATCCCATTATTTAAGTACAGCAATCAATTATTCTACCGATTATAGGTTTGATTACTCGGGGAACATGAAAATAGTTGAGAGAGAAAAAGTGTCACATCTCTTCCCACGTGTGATGCTGGACGCGATGTTTTGGGAGGGGGCTTTGTGATGTCATCAGTATCATCAGCGTCGTCACGCTGGACGTGGCTTGTAGGGGGGTTTCCCACCTTCGGGTTGCAGGATGTCAGGCGGTCGCCAATCTTAAATGGGACCTGAGCAAATTTATCAGAAAGTGGTCGATTACAAGTTTGTGTTTGATTCATCTGCTTCACCGACTCATAGTCCTAGCCGTAAGTCGGCGTGTAAACCTGGAAGCGACGTGAACCACCTGCGATCAGTACTTGGGTCAACACTTTATTCAATCTGACTTCCTTTGAGTACTTAGTTTACAAGATTATATTGGTAGGAACCTCCTGGTTACACCAGCCCACAGGGGATTATTGTGTCCGTCCGTCCGTCGTGCATCCAAAAATGGGAGCGGTGGGGCTGGGTGGAAAGGGGAGGGTGGGGAGGGGCTGGGTGGGGAGGGAGGGGCTTGGTGAGGAGGGGAGGGTGGAGAGGGGCTCGGTGGGGAGGGTGGGGAGGGGCTGGGTGGGGAGGGTGGGGAGGGACTGGGTGGGGAGGGTGGGCTGGTGGGGGGTGGGAGGGGTGGGGCTGGGTGGGGAGGGGCTGGTCACCCCGTGGTGCCCTTATAAAACTCAACGTTTAACCTACTCACGTCGGCTTGTGCCCGCCCTCACAGTCGGGAATATTTGCGGAATACACCACGCCACCGTTGACCCTGGCCATTGACCGAGCAACCCAACGTTCCTACCAGCTCCATTCGCAGGAATGTGTTTTAGGGAGGGATGTAATCTTTTTCAGAGATGTGATCTCCATATTTTTTTTGTCTTTTCTCAAACCTATCCAAAGATTTAGATTTTGATGACTATTCCCCTTCAGATACTGACCACATCAGGCTGACGTCCTACGAATCGATGTACCTCCAATTCCCCCCCCTCCCATTCCATTTCTTTCCCTTTCTTTCCCCGGTGGTTAAAACGATTCTCTATTATCTCACCAAGTTGGAACACTGGATATTATTTATATTAATTAAGGAAAAAAATATCAGTGTCTCGGTTATTCAGTGTGTTTTTTTTATTGCAAAACTTGTAATATAGTACGAAAAAAATACGTTAGGAATTTTATGCTGTCAGATTTTGAAAATTTTCATTTCGCTGTTTCATTTGGAGGTCATCCACATTTCTCAGTCATCCGCCGCTTGTGTGGGGCTGTTGCTGCAGACACAAAACGTATTGGGAGGGCATTGTCACAGCACAGGTTTGGTACTCGGTGTACTTAGAAGACGGAATCTCAGAGAGAGAGAGAGATAAAATCTCACCAAAGTACGGCGTTTTAGACGAAAAAATGGGGCCACTAATGGACGGCAAGATTGTGCGCAAATTATTATGCCGCACGCCGCCCTCTTGTTTGCGGCTATTACTGCCCACTAGTAAAACGGACATTAGCAGCGAGTGTAACGTGGAGCGTGTTTTCCCCGTGGAAATGCGAAACGCTGAATGGCGCCAGCACAATGAAGCGCCGCAACGAGGCTGGGGCTCGTTTTTTTATAAAACCGTTGACATGGCTGCGCCGTGCAATTCATCAGCCTTTTCAGACCGAACTCACGGAGAAAATTCAAATTAAACGATTCAAGTTTCAGAATAGTTGTCTTCCAACCACGTGCATGGTCTTCTGTCACTTTTGACATTTTAACCACAAATTTATTTGCTTTTCTCACTGGGTTAAAAGGAGGATTTTATATATATATTAAGAACCTCCATTTGTATTACATGAATACAACCCGAAGATCCATTTTCCAATTTTGGATCAAAGTTCTCGCATATCGCACGCACATGGGGTTGACACAAAAACGTTCTTCGATTAAGATGTTATGATTAAATCGAAGCATTCCAAAGACGAATTGTTACTTTGCTCTTGATTTAAAAAAAAAATACGCCAGTTCATTATGGACTTTTAAAAAAGGTGAGCAATTAAATTTAAAAGGAAAATTTTGTGGAAACGATTAATTGGTTTAAAAACGAGTTTAATGCCTATTACTGCATTTGAATGTCACCTTGCCAGAACTCCTCACCCATGCGATGTTCACATCGAGTCATCAGCTGTCCCCGTTTTGTGATTTTAACTCTGCCTGAATTTTTTAAATCTGCAAATGCCCACAGAAACCAGACGTTCTAAATCAGGTGAGTGCATTCATTGGGGTCACCTGCATGCAATTAGCCACCCCATGAATCACATTCATATTTCACCTCCAATTTTAAAACAGCAATCTATTTACATTCATTTTTGCTCCATTTCTTAATGCGTTTTTTGTTTGGGTTAGATAGTGGAGGTATAATGTTCATTTTTAACTATAACTCTCCATAACGTGTAAAATCTGAGCCTTTTGTTCAACATATGATGATGCTGGGTGTAATCTACAGCAAAATGTCGCACGTAAAAATTGTCAATCTTTTCATCCCTCTTCGGACATTTCTCCTGTTTTGCTGATAAAAAACAAATAATTTGGGTGTATTTGTCCATGACGTGACGGCACGATTAGATTGATTCTGTCGGGTGGTGGAGGGCTATAGTTAACATTTGTCATCATACCTAAACGATCTAACCCAAAGGAAACCGATCACGAATCATGAACATTGTTCGTGACAGCCGACCTAAAATCAAATGCCCCATCTCATTTGCATACAATCCGGCCAAAATCTGTCCTGCCAAAAATGTCAGTTTGCGAGTCGCGAGCCCTCGTCGAGGAGACGGCTCTGCAAACGTCTTGTTTTGTTGATCACCTGCGCCAGCTGAGTCCCCCGATCCAACGCCGGCGGAAACACCCGGCTTGCCCCCCGTGTCTCAGCCACCTCCATTTGCCCCCCACCCCGCTCGATGTGCCGATGTGCTCCGAAGTATCGAGCACGAGCGCAGTAATACGCGCCTCCCTCCCCGGACACTTTTTTCCCAAATCCCACGACGGTTCCGAGTTGCGCAGCGCGCGCGCTCGGGTACGCGCGGTTGGGCCCTGCTCCTTTTCAAGTGAAAGCAATGCCTGTCCGACCGTGCTGCGGTTGTTGTTGTTGTTGTTGTTAAAAGCGCTCGCCTCCGCTCCCCCAGCCCATCGACCTGGAGGGATTCCGTCTCTTCATGAGGACGTACCTGGAGACGGACATCCCTGAGGACCTGTGCCGCCACCTCTTCATGTCGTTCCAGAAGAAGTCGAGCCAGGCCAGCCCCGCCTCGCAGCTCCACCGAGCCACTTCGCTCTTCAGCTCCACGGGTACGAGCGGGCATTATGACCACATCCGGAACTCCACATCCAGTATTCTTCGCACTAAGGCTGTGGTTCCTAGTCACGTGCCACCTACTTCAGCCTACCAGCGACCCATGAAATTATTTTGCGCCCGGCACACCACATCCAGTATACCTCTCACTATGGCTATGGGTCACGTGTCACCTATTTCACTCTACCAGCAATGCAGAAAATATTTCGCGAGAAATTAATCCCTGGGCCAAATCTCATTTGAACATTTTAGTATAGGAATTTGTAACATCTTGCCATATCCGATTGTTCCAACTGCTCCCTTGTTGTTGAATATAATTTTAAACAATGCGTGGAGCAGGGGATAGGGGGGCGCTGCTGACTGACCAAACCCGTTCATTCCATTCAAATGATGATAATTCACATCTGGTCGGTGCGCAAACATAAACAGTCGACCAACGACCCATAATAAACATTCAACGATAAAATTAAACGAAACTGTTTTACCAGGCAAGGCCCACTGAGCTATATCGTTCTTTTTCAGAAACGACCTGGCCACAAATGATAGCTCAACGAAGTGGCTCATCACGTGGATATTCATAGCAGCAGCCAAATATTCTAAACGCACGTTTCTAAATGTGGAGGGAAAAACCGGAATACACACGACACAACCAAGGGGAGAACATGCAAACGCCAAATATACAGGCATCAGGGTTGGGATTGACCCCACGATCTCCTGCATACCAGGCAAGGTAGTTAACATCTCGCCACCGTGGCAGGTATGAGTTCTCCTTTGCTTGATTTGACCACGAGCACTCGCCACCAGGGCTGAGTAGCAACAGGCGCCGTATCTCAGCGACGCTTCCTGAAAACAATCGTTAACTTTTGGTCGCGAACATTTTAAATGTGAAGGAAAACAAAGGGCATTTAAGTGTAATCACGCACACCCACCAGACAGAGAGAGAGACCTGTTGGATTTGTCACGAGGTTGTCAGTAGTCTGCAAATTTGTGCAGTGTGAAATTATGAATATTTTTTTACCTAATGATCTGTGAATTACAAGAAGATAGTCACAACACGGGTATGTTTTAATTGATTTGCTGCCTTTCAATTTGCCTGAGTTAAAAATGCTTTGACAATCGATGGAGAGCGTGACATTTCACGTTTTTCTTCATAGTCTCATTCCAGAAGAAGCACTTTACGATTTTGTCAACGATGGGCTCTGATGATGTCATTAGCACATCTTGACACATGCCTTTAAATAACGTCTGTAAAAAGTAAATTGTCAGTAATTTAAAACGCCTACAAAGTCTCTCTTGAGTATGGCTGAATGAGTAAAATACATCTATGTCCAGATTAATTATCCAGCAAATTACTCTTCGACATATGCTGGGTACAATTCTTCAATGCCTCCTTTGAATTGCGACTACTAACGGTGGTTCACCCCGATGTGGTCTCACATAGCGGCACGTCGACAGCGATATACTCTCATAGGGATCAACAGGCTCACGTAGAGACCCTCAAAGCTCACACAGGAGTCGCATCGCTTCACCATTCTGTGGTCGATGGTCCAGTCGGCATATCTAAACATCCCACACAAGGCTTTCTCTAAACTTCCACTTGTGAAAGGCAGTGGTGGTGGGCTGATCTGCAGTGAGACGTGCAGATTCCATTTAATGTCGACCGTTTTGTTTTCGAGGTATGGATTCAATCCTGGAGGCTCTTTAGTGGCATCGGCAATCAGGCGCTTGTTCGGGATTACCGGTGTTCGCCCAACCCCACAAAGTAATACACCCTAATTCGCTCATTCGTTGGTGAAGCCTGAAATTAGTAGTAGGTTTTTTACCCTTTAAACTGGTACAAAACTGACACCTTTATACAAGGCATCATGTTTGCAATAACCACAACACAAGCAGTCAAAATGCAAACAAAAAGAAACAACTCTGATAATGGTAATGATATGCACTGTCCTTGAAGTTGATTGGTCCACACCCGAGACAGCTTTTCTTAGAGCCTAGTCTCCATTGGTGTTGGACCAGATGACGCCAAAAGGCTTGTGTTGTGGTTATTGCAAACATGATGCCTTGTATAAAGGTGTCAGTTTTGTACCAGTTTAAAGGGTAAAAACCTACTACTATATTTTGCCACTGGTAAAGGAGGTCTCATAATGAAGCCTGAATTGTTAATCTGTTGGTAAACGTCGTTTTCTGAACCGTAATTGGTTGGTTGTGTTGCAGAGATGCGAACGATCGACAGCGGCATCACAGCTCACACGGCTGTGGCCTGTGCTCCGGTGACGGGTGAGCGCTCCCACACCCACCCAGTCTGGGCACCTCCCTACTCTCAAATCAGAACAAAACAATGCCAAAAAGGAAATGTCTTTTGCTGCAACAGCTTTGCCTAGCGGTTGGCGCCACACGACGCCAGGCAGTGCCGGATTAAGCTAGTGCGGGGCCTGTAGAATATGTTATAAAGGGGCCCTAAATAAAAAAAACGTATTTAAACACAAATTTTTTACTTGCATAGTAAAAAAAAATCATTTGCTATACAGCCAGATAATACGACAAATCGCTAACCTTAAACACCCAGTCGTTTATAAAAGTTGAAGGCGGTATAGTACTACATATAGTAATAGAGCAAGTGCAGAATCACTGAACCGGAATTGATAGCTTGAAAGCATTTAGCGCGGGGCCCGTAGCTACATGTGCTGCTTTTGCTACGAGGATAATCCGGCACTGACGCCGGGCGTCAGGCGAGGGGCTCGCTCCCATCTTTGGAAGTTTGCAGGAGCGGGAGGAGGGTGCGTGCTACTCGCGAACGCCGCTCGGTTTGTTGTTGGTCACATGACAGACGCAATCCGCGAAATTCACCCACACCCCCCCCCCCCCATTTTGTCGTAAGAGCGGTTCTATCACATGATAATTATATCAACTAAATATAACGACTAGCTACTGACCCCAAAAAATGCGGAATCTAAAATACCATTATTTTTTGTGTCCAAGATGTCGTGGGTGTTTCTTTCTAAAGCATTTTGGAGGTATATTCTTGGTTCTTTCGGTAAAGTCACATAGAAGGGAAATGATAAAATAATAATAATACAAAATCCTACGTGACTTTACCGAAAGAACCAAGAATATGAATCCCTGCAGTCACGAAAGCTTTAAATCAAAACATTTTGGAGGTGTCTTGACATCCATAATACTCCTGCTGTCAATGGTTTTTGTAGTAAATTGAGAACGCATTACCCTGACCTTTTTAAACAACTTTCCTGTGACTTTGACATCACCCATGATGATGTTTCTTTGTTTTTAAAGACGTACTCCTCTTCAGTTTTAAGCCCTCCGAGATAACGGTGCCTCCCTTTCTTGATTTGAAGCTTTCATGACTGCAGAAATCCATACTCTTTGATTCTTTCGGTAAAGTCACGTAGGTATAAAATAAATTACTTAAATAAATTATTAAAATACATTATTTTAAAATAAATTATTTTAATATAAATTCTTTTAAAATAAAATAAATTCTTTTAAAATAAATTATTTTATACCTACGTGACTTTACCGAAAGAACCAAAGAGAATGGGTGCCTCGCTTATTTAATTTCACACACCTCCTTGCTCAACCACTGACCCCATTTTCTGCCCCATGGCTCCACTGTGGGTTTCCACTGTGGGTTTCCACAGTGGAGTGACGTGTTAATGAAACGGCTCTTCCTTTTGTCAGCAGTGAACTTCTCAATCTGGTCTCACCTTTTCTTGCAGGCGTTGCTGAATTATTAACCACATCCAAAGGGTTTTGTACCGACTTAAGGCTTTTTTCTGCACTGCTCACAAATTTGTCCGTGAGTGATGCTGCATCAACCCTTTTTCTAACCACATGTGCAACAATATTGACGTTACTATCCGAATGCCCTTTGAAAAATAGACGTGTTAGTCTCAAATTGCCATGTGCTTTAAAATCGATTATTGATAATAATAAAAATGATGACGATAAATCTAAAAGTTTCTCCCAACAACTACAGCCAGATACAATCAAGGCTTTTAGTCGAAGCCCCCAGAGTTAGCCATCACTCAACATGAGGTTGCTCCTTCTCCTCTGCTGCCCCATGATAAAGTGTGCCCGTGGGCATTACAGAAATAGAACGTGCTACCTAAGACAATATTTGTTTCCCAAAGTCTGAGGCCAGAATTTTCTATTTTGTGTTACATCTGGAAGCGCCCTCTATCACGAATGGGATGGAACGTCTACATTTACATTCTTGTAACATCAAGATTTTTAGATAGCAATGGCTTGGGGAGGCCGTCATCCAGCAATGGTTAGATCACAGCCGATGACAGGTGAATGTCAAACGTTTTAAAGCTTCGATAGCGCTGAACCTGATAAACTATACAAATGAAAAAGCTATTTTTTATTTTACCAGGTAAGGCCCACTAAGCTATATACCTATTTTTCAAAAGCGACCTGGTCACAAATTATAGCTCAATGAAGTGGCTTATCATGTGGAAATGTATTCCAGCCGGAGAAAAATCCTTGCGACCACGGGGAGAACACGCAAATTATACTATACAGCAGGCGTCAGGGTCAGTATCGAACCCACGGCCTCCTGTATACCAGGCGAGGTATTTAACACCTCGCCACCGTGACGCCCTCTGACCGCACCAGGCCTGAACGGCAAGAGCATCATCCAGGCGATGAGGCAGTCGGAGAAGCGGAGCCCTCTCGTGTTCCACGGCGAGACGCAAGGGGCCCAGGGCACGGACGGCGCGGCGCGGCTCGGCCAGTCCGACCAGCTCTCCCTGCAGGCCGTCGCCTCTTCAACGCCCACCTCGTCCAGATCATCCTCGCAGCGCTCCACGGGCACGCCGGGCCTCAACAAGTCCCGCGGCTCCTCCAAGCTGCCCCAGTCGCTCCTGCCGCCGAAATCTCCAGGTGTAGTGCGGAGATTTCTGCCGCCAATTCATATCGGCTTAGCCTGGATTTCGCCCGTCCTTAAGTCATAAAATCAAAATTCTTCGGCGTGCGTCACCCTCCGCTCAATGTAAATCCCAAGAGGTCTCCGCGCTCCTTCTCTCCATTAAGTCAGAGCCCCTTTTTTTCTGAGATGGCGAGCGGCGCCCTGGTTTGCAGCCAATTCACCACCAATGGCTCCTGACCTCAAAATTGTTGCGATAATTTGACGGTGATAAATTCCAAAGACAGTGATATTTACGCCCGTGCGAAAGCATACGCTCTTCATTATTCCCTTCCAATTTTCACCGGACAGATGGAATTACCGCCTTTGTTTGCTTTAACAATCCGGCTAGGTTAAACCGGCGGTTTGAAGCGCAAGTCTGACGTTCAAAATAAACACGGCTCTTTGGACGAGTATACTTTTACAGGTGCCGGCGAGTGACTGTGTACATCTGATAATTGGCTCATGTGCGATCGCTAGCTCTCAGATTTTTCCGGCACAATATAGAAGAGAGCTACGCACAGTGTTAAGCATCCTTTACAATTGGGCCAAAATTCCTGTCTGCTCCGTCAGTAATGCAAGACGTTCCAATTACGCGCAGAGAGCGTATAACGGTGGATGACGCGCCAGTGCCAGTGGCCAGAGTTTGGACGAACACTCGGGCTCGAGTCAGGTTCCACTGAATAGCCAGCAGTGGTAGCGCGTGTGTATGTTACGGGGAAAACTTTCCTTGCTACCGATTGATTCGGAGCTCAATTGGAGGAGGCTGCAAGGACCGACTCAGCCCTCGGTGAGCTTTGGTTGCTCTGCCACCTGGTGGCGGAGATTGACAAATGCAGCACGGAACGCTGGGTCGTAGTACCTGGGACTCACAAGGGACGCTTTAAATGTTATCATCCTGAGTAAGGAGATGAGCTCGCTGTGATATTATTTGACCGGTTTTCACTCGCGCCACTCTCGAATCCGTTGGGGATTCGTTTAAAATAAACCATGCTAACATCACAGCAACGCTCTACAACTATTGTATCATCTCCCCCAAATATGGTTGCACAATGTATCTAATCATTACATTTATCCATCGACTTATATCTGCCTACACTCAACCAACAGTTTGCTTTCTGAACAATGAGAATGTATGGGTTATACGGGTTTTCCAAATTTGTATATTTCATACAAATTAAAATGCCTTAACAGCCGTCATTCGCCACTAAGTGGCGGTGACATCACCACAGCACTTGTGCCAGGCTAGGTGCACTTTGAGGCCACGTAGAGTGTCCAAGGCTCGCTGACAGGTCACAGGGCAGACCTAAATGTTATGGGTTGACCGACTGAGATGACTGACAGATACACAATCTGTGCTCCCGACTGTCCCAACTCGCGCTGTATTTTAGGGTCCGGCACTGCACTCGTTGTAAGTGTCGCTCCTCTGCCCTCCACTGTTGTTGGATGGCGGCTGCGTCCAACTGCCCAATAGCGTCTTCCATGAGCCTCCACCACAGAGGGCAATCGTGACACCGCTGCTACCGGTCATCTGTGATGACTGCCTTCATATCACTCTGTCCACACACGCACCTGAGACCGTGTTGGTGTGGATTAACGGAGCCCGGAGCCACCGTGCCATTACATTCACAGCGGGTGCGTGCGTGCTGCGCAGGACTGCACACAACTCTGGGCGTGCGAAAGGTTTTTTTGGCAGAGAGTTCCATTCCTGGACCGTCATGAGGAAGCCCAAAATTCCTCTGGTGTCGGCTTTTGGGATTTCACAGATTTGTAATTGTCAGCTCCACCTGGTAAATGTCACCCCTATGCAAATGTTGTGGTGACCCGTCTCGCCAGTGTGTCTGGTGACACGTTCACGGAACTCGTCTTGTGGCGTGGTGGAAGGCTTCATCATTACCGCTACCTTAAGCCACGATCTATCCACTCCTGGATGAAGGCTTCTGCAATGATGTGGTTGTTCCTAATCCCTAGGGTTTTTTTTCTGTCTGTCAATTGCGGTACAGTAAACTGAAAAAGAGGAATGATAAATTGTATCATTTACACAAATAATTATATTCCTTTCTCTAAAGTGTAAATAAAGCTCCAATTTTTTTTCCCAGTGAGAATAAAACGAAATTTTAAACGGTTGTTTTGGAACAGGTCAAAAGATGGTGTAACCAGGGCTTCATTTCCCACCAAATATTTCCCGGGTCACTGTTACACTTGAGTAGGCACCTGACTAGTAGCCACAGCGAGTGGTGGATGTGGTGTGCCGAGTACAGAAATATTTCCTCCGTCATCAACCCGGATATTTTTGGCTGCAATTAAGTCCCCGGGTATAAATCAAATTTGTCCATTATGGTTTGGTGTAACACTTGCAGGAAATGCCTAATGCACACTGCATGGCCATTTCTGAAAGTAATCAGCAGATGGCAAACGAGTCGAGGAGAAGATGCTTCCCCAGTCTGGCCGTGAATGATACCGTGTGCTCGATGTAAACAGTCACATGCCAGGCCGCCCAAACGAAAATAAACATTTAAGTTTCAATGAGTTCTCAACTGATTTTAATAATAATCATATCTACCTACCAATCCAACTACCGAACATGTGTTAGATGAAAACAGTTTGGCGTTTGTCTGCTTAAAGCGATGGTGCCGACCCCACGTTGGTTAATTGATTTATGGACTTCAATGTTATTTTATAATTATGATGGTGATACAGACATTTAGTTTTTTTGGGTAAAGTCACGTAGGTAAAAAACAATAAATTAAAATGAAAACAACTAAATTAAATCACGACGTTTCGGGCGCAGCACAAGCGTCCGTCTTCAGGTGGGGACAGACACAGCGAAAGAACAACCGCTTAAGCGTGCCTATGGTGATACAGACCTGTTTCTCTTTATTTATCCATGGGTATTATTTTTTTACCACAAACACTCCAAGACGTTATATTACTTGCCTGCCCGTCTACCCACCTACCTGATCTCCCTGCCAGCCGACCTATTCACCTCCACCCACCTACCGACTTCTCTGCCTGTCTACCGACTTGCCTGCCCACCTACTTGCCTGCCTGCCTGCGTATCCACCTATGAATCTCCATACCTAGTTACTAGCCTGACTACATACCCACTTGAGTAGTTACCATTCTGCACCTGTGAAGGCCATGCCGGCCGTGCCGGCCTTCACTCGCCCCAACAGTCTGTTAAGGCGACACGGGGGGGATATTTGTCTTTGAGGGCGTCCATAAATGACGTTACACGATTTTGGACGATGTTTGACCCCCCCCCCCCTTCGTCACACGGCGTCACAAAAAGTCAGACCCCCCCCTCAAATATGACGTCACAAAGCTCTGCCACCCCCCCCCCAAAATAAAACATGCTTCAAATCGCTTTAAACTATTGTCATTGTAGTACGTATTTAATGTGGCGTTGCACTCTGATGTTGTAGGAGTGTTTTATAACAATGAGTGTTGTTATAACATTTATTTATTTATTTAAAGTTGCGCATTTTGATGTGACGTCACATTTCTCAAACCCCCCCCCCCCTCGTCAAACATCGTCACAAATGTCTGACCTCCCCCCCCTCCCTAGGTGCGTGACGTCATTTATGGACGGTCCCTTTGTGTGTGTTGCGTGTGCCGCAGCCATGCGCGAGCGCAAGCTGGGGCTGAACCTGCTGAAGGGAAGCCCCGGGCGATCTCGCTCCGTGTCGCTCACGCAGCCCGCGCTGCCCCAGGTGGTCTTCCTCAAGGACATCGTGTGCTACCTCTCGCTGCTCGAGGGGGGCCGGCCCGAGGACAAGCTGGAGTGTGAGCGCCCGCGACTCACGGGCGTGAAGTCTTCGCCCCACCCCCCCCATCCCTCTCTCGACAACCGCACAAAAAATATCAGAGAACGCAACGCACGTGGTCGGGTCGAGCGACGCGTTCGCCGATTGTTGGATGGATCCAAAAAGAAATCGCAGCTACGATTATCACGGTTGGCCTACGTATGGTGCGAAAGAAGTTCAACATGCATACAGATATTACATTTGTGGACGATCCGAATAAACAACTATTTCGGATTGATTAGAAAGTATGTCACAGGAAATGATATCACGTGTTACGTTACCCCCCCCCCCCCCCGCACAAAAGTGGCGGTACGTGGCATCGGGTGATGTCACTTTTGTTAGCACAAAGACCCGTTAAATTGTCACGTGACATCTGATTTTAATTAATATGAAATTATCTTTCAAATGAAACAAAATCTCAAAAGTTTAAATCCGTAACTCGTCGCTGCTATCGTCCAAAGTTGCCAAATGAGAAAATGTCCCACAAATAACTCAATTGAGAAAACACAGAGCAACACCCAAACCACCACCCCCCTACTGCCGAACACAGCGAAACCCTCCTAACAAAAAATGAGGAATGATACGATCCGATTTTGTCTGTCGTGCATTCTGTTCTAGCTCTCTCTCTCTCAGCCCCCGTGTTCATGAGGAACATCGCTCCAACACGGGCACGTGAGCTTGCAGCAGGAGGGGCGGAACCCCTGCCAGCCCCACAAAGACAAAGATCCCCTGTGTAGCCTACGCAGCCTGTTGGAGCAAGTGCTGTGTTAGCAAGCACCTTTGAAGGCCAGCGGTGCAAAGGGAGTTGTGCGCCTTTGTCTCCCCAGCGGTGGCCTTTTTGTGCCACACCAGATAAGACTGAGTAAACCTAGGGGAGGCCCAGGGCTGATTCAGATGTCACTACTCACTTCCGATTAGCACGGATGGCTACGTATGGTGCGAAATAAATTGAACACACACACATACTCATCTCCGTCACGTCTGTGAATGAACCCCAGGTCGCTGGGTTTCATAGCTCAACGCCCTAACCACTACACGACCACTCCACGCAATCACAACAACATCAACATCATCAACCCAACGGTCCACGACTCCGCAGTCGCAGCTCCCACCGGTGGGAGTCGCACGATAGCCACGCGCCCTGCTCATCAGAGGAACGACACGGGGCTCTCCCCTCTCTGCGCAACGCCGGCGACACGGCCCCTTCGGCCGGCCTCGGGCGCAGTTGCGCAGCCTCCGCATTCGATAGCCAGACGGCGCTGGGTAGCACGACTGCTCCCCAGCCCCTTTGTGGCGACGCGCACGCCGCCAGAACGCGGACGGTTCCTCAAGGGCCGCTCCTCATTGGGCATCTTGGTCGCGTGTTCGAGGGGGTTGGCCGGGTCAGGAACAAAACGCGCCTTGACCCGAGCCAAAACGGTTGATGGCAGATTCCCTGCACCGACGCGAAAGAGGCGGCGTTGATGCGTCGCGGTGTTTTTTGCGACGATTCGTCACACAGAGCAGGCTCGGGAAACTCCGAACGGATCGATGAGGGTGTTCCGCCTCATCGAGACGGGGGGGCCCGGTGGTGCGGAGTGACCCCCTAGTTGCCTCCCTGACCCCGTGCATGACTTGCAAGCGCCTGCCGTGTTCCACCTCCAGTGATAGGGGACGGCTAATGAGGCATGTCAAGTTTGAGCGGTAGGCAAACCCTGAGGGCTTCCTGCCACTCCTGACCCCCCCCATCTCCCTTCCCCCGCCACCACCCCCACCCCTCCTCTGACCCCCATTCTCTATTCCGCTTTGTGGCCCATGGGGAGCGAGATAAGATCTCAAAAGAACGCTCGCTGGGATGGCTTGTGTGTTGCTGCTGCACACACAGGCGAGGGGGAAGAAACCAGTTATACCAAACGCCTCGTCTTTTACAATTGTTCAAATTCTCAGCGCGCAAAGACTCGTATCGCTACTCGTATCACTGCTGGCATCAGCGCCATGTGCCCCTATTTCATTACTTCTTACCTATCACCAATCTGCTTTGTAAAGGTTCATTTTACATCGGCAAACAGGAAAACTGCACGCTACTTTTTCTGGGGGGGGGGGTTAAAAAATAAAAATTTTAGCGGGAGAGATGATAACGGGTGTTTACAAACGTAAATAAACACTGCCTGAGGAAGTTAAAATAAAGACCTCTATTCATTTCTCCACACATAATAATATATTTCTATTCCCTCAGCCGATTGGACTGCCAAAGCAAAATTCTGCTGCATTTGTTTAACCATGCAAACTCTGGACTGGTTTCAACCATCTGGGTATCATCAGCAGAGTCAGGCCAATGAATTGAAAACTGCTGTATTGCCAGAGGCAGTTGACTTAATATTATTGGTCAGGAAAGCCCATAGGCGAATAAACAAAAACTTATTTTATATATTATGTGGAGATAACACAGATCTGTTTATTAACAGGGAACAAACACAAGTTAAATATCTCATCTTGCAAGTTGGCTCGGGCAGGACACATCGCTAAGAGGAATAGTGGCTCGTGGTCAAGACTAACAATGGAGTTGGCATCTCGGCACCGTGGTGGCGAGATGCTAACTAGCTCACCTGGTACACAGGAGGTCGTGGGTTTGATCCCGATCCCGATATTCGGAGTTTGCATGTTCTCCCTGTGGTCGCGTGGATTGTTTTTTATCCCGGTCCTCTGGTTTTTTCCCTTCGCATTTAAAATCAACATGCGTTTAAGAGTATTTAGCTGCTTTCATTTGTTCGATTCCCGCTCACGCACCTCCGATTATCACGGCTGGCTACATACGGTGCAACATACATACATGTTGATTTAAAGCTTTCGTGCCTGCAGGGATTCATATTCTTGGTTCTTTCGGTAAAGTCACGTAGAAGGGAAACAATAAAATAATACAAATATAAAACAATACAATTCTCACTATTGTTTTATATTTTTATTATTGTATTGTTTCCCTTCTACGTGACTTTACCGTAAGAATCAAGAATATACATACTTGTGTTCAGGTCCCTTCTGTTAAAAGAGCTATATAGCTCAATGAGGCCTTACCTGGTAAAATAAAAAGTTTAGTTTACTTTTAGACATGGTGGTTGGTTGTGATGCTGTGAATTAATGCACATTGCATTTATTTGCGTTCCGCAGTCATGTTCCGCCTGTACGACACCGACGGAAACGGACTCCTGGACCACTCGGTGAGCAAACCTCTCCATTGTTCCTCAGTAATTCAAGGGGTCTCCTTTTGTCCAGTGGTGGTGCAACGATGGAGCGCGCAGGCGGTGCAGCTGCACTGCGTTCTACAGGTCGGAGGGGGGGGATCCAGGCACGGGGCTCTGAAGAGGGGGAAATTGGATGGGGCCCCATTTCATTCTTTGCACCAGGGCCCAGCGCCAAACGCGCTACGCCACTTATTACCGCGGCAAAACACAGCTGTCCCATCGCCTCTGTGGTATAGCTATCACAGCGATCACAGCACATCACTGTTTGGCTGCAATTCCCAGAAACATTAGCTGATATTTTATTTGTCTCCCAATTTCACTCTTGGCACCGTGTCATGAGGTGAAGTTGCTTTTCAGAGCTCTCGCAGAGGGATTCATCGCGCCGTGTTATGGCACGGCCTGCGAAAGGGCACATCACAAACCTGATCGTGAAATTCCTTCATATGGGCTATTTTATTGTATGTATGTTGAACTTCTTTTGCATCATACATAGCCAACCGTACTAATCAGAGGTGCGTCATCAACCATGCTGTGGGGGAAACTGCACTTTTCCACACACCCTTCTATGGAAAAATGTCTGTCCAGGAGACTGATATATTTCCATTCACTGTCCTGAAATGTAGAAGGATAAAATCACGTGAAAAAAAGCACAGTTATTAATGGACATTGACCACATTCTACACGGCGCGTGGTGGCCTCATGCAGCAGTGGAGTGATAAAAGTACTTTATATGTACACATAAACGTCGGCTATACTGCACAAGATACTAGTACTTTCTTCTTGGTCCATTCTCCAAACACCTCGCCGATGCTTTAAGCAACGCTGAGTTAAGGCTGTGGAAGTGCCTCAACGGCGGAGGGCAGACACGGGAAATCAAACCCGCGTCATTGGCATGAGTGTCAAGTTGGAACGCCATTTACACCTAAAACATGACCGCGGCACAATCACGACGGTACCAACGACTACAGCCGCGCTTCGCACACAGCTGCTACCACCTGTGCCCGACCGCAGTGACGTTGTCGCGCAGGAGCTGGATCGCATCATCACGCAGATGATGCACGTCGCCGAGTACCTGGAGTGGGACGTGACGGAGCTCAAGCCGGTGCGTGGCGACGGGGACGCCGGCGAGCGGGAGGACGCGGCGATCGCGCCGCGACAAAATGCCCACGCTTAAATCGAATCCGCGTGGACGCACGGCAGTATCGCCCCCCGCTGCCGCTACCTTCGCGAGCGAACGTTCAAAAACTAAACTAAAGAGAAACATTTTTTTATCTTACCAGGTAAGGCCCACTGAGCTAAATAGCTCTTTTTTCAGGATCGACCTGGCCACAAATGATCGCTCAACGAAGTGGATTATCACGCGGAAAATGTGTAGCTGCGAAATACTCTAAATGCACGTTTCTAACCGTGAAGGGAAAAATCGGAGGACCCAGAGAAAAATGCACGCGGCCATGGGGAGAACTTGCAAACTCAAAATATACGGCTGTCAGGGTGGGGATTGGAATCGAACCCACGACCTCCGGTATACCAGGTGAGGTCGTTAACATCTCGCCACCGCGGTGCCCCAAAGAAAGCACGGCATGCGATTGCAGACACACCAGCCAGACCCATCGACCACGCAGGAGTGAACGGGGCTTGATTTCAACTGAAGCTCTGTAAAATATATTTTGCCCCCCCCCCCCCACCAAACCCCCTCCTGCTGTCGGGAAGGGAGGACAGGGTCCGAGAGGTTTAGAGTTGGGGGGCCTCGGGAAATATTCCGCGAAAAATTGGGCAATAGTATTGAGCCGATGTGAAATCTGAAAATGAATTCAACGGAGGCGATGAAGCAATACACCTCACATCAGCAAAAGCCATTCTCTGGCCAATGAGTTTGGACACGGGCTTAAACGTCGCTATTCATTCAACCACAGGCAAGAAAGCAACACTACATTTATTTTATATTTTTTGTATTTTATTGTTTCCCTTCTACGTGACTTTACCGAAAGAACCAATAATATACATTTGTATGTTGAACTTCTTTCGCACCGTATGTAGCCAACTGTGCTAATCGTAGGGGTGGGGGAGGTGGGAAAGACAAACCCGTGGCTCTCCGGCGTGTGCTGATGTTATCGGCAACTGCAATGTGCAGATTCTGCAGGAGATGATGGAGGAGATCGACTACGACCAGGACGGAACCGTGTCGCTGGACGAGTGGATCCGGGGAGGGCTCACCACGATTCCGCTGCTGGTGCTGCTCGGCCTGGAGACGGTGAGCGAGCAAGATTGCGCGTGCACCACGATGCTGGATTGCAGGGTAGGGGGGGGGGGAGCGGCCGTTTTACGCCGGGCTTCCGATCCGCAGGGGGCCCTTGTAAAGAGCAAAGGGGTTTTCACCTGGTATTTGACCCCACACCTTCAAAACCTTTCTACAGCCCAGCCAACGTGCGCCTGTGTCCACTCGTGTTGTTGTTTCCTCCATCAACCCCCACACACACAGACAGCTCACACGAGCACTTTCTCAATGTCTAACCCAGCTCACGTGAGCGCTCGCTCGCTTTGTTAAACCCAGCTCAAACGAGCACTCGCTCGCTCTAATCCAGCTCACACGAGCACTTTCTCAATGTCTAACCCAGCTCACGTGAGCGCTCGCTCGCCTTGTTGAACCCAGCTGACACGAGCACTCGTCCCCCTGCGTGTAACCCTCGGTGCAGAACGTGAAAGACGACGGGCAGCACGTGTGGAGGCTGAAGCACTTCAACAAGCCAGCGTACTGCAACCTGTGCCTCAACATGCTGGTGGGGCTCGGCAAACAAGGCCTGTGCTGCTCCTGTGAGTGCTTCCGATAGCCCGCATGCTGACACGAACACGCATGTCCTCGCACACGCACCTTTACACACGCACACACACACACCTACGATTAGCACTGTTGGCTACGTACGGTGTGAAAGAAGCTCAACATACGGTGCATACATCCGGCAGACCGGCCTCCTGAGCACAAACTCATGATAACATAAGAGGTATTTTGGGCTAGATCGCGTAAATAAATGTGTCGTTAAACCCGCCACCACCCAGTTAGTAAGGTTTGTCACGTAAACAAAACGTACCAATTCATTACTAGTTCAGCACTAACTGTTGAAGAGTAAACCTACAACATTTACAATTCGAGTATCGTGACGTTTCGCTGATAATTACAACCAGCCTCATCAGGCGACAGACAGAGTTCATGGGCCAGAGCAGAATTCATTACCGCAATAGGTGGCAAATATTCACTGATTACCACTTTCTGTAATATGCTTAATACAAAGTGTATTATGTGATATTGCGTAATTCACTTTCGTTGGCGATGTAAAGATGTTGGTGCAACTCCAGTGTTGCCATCTCAGCTGTTACAATCGAGTAAAATATTTGGTCTGCTTCGCATGGACTAACACGTGTTGCTGTGGAGCGTCAGGAGTAATTCATAGACCTCCGCTCTGTGTCTCTACGCACAAATAAAATGCGTCTTAATTCATCGGCCACTTCTGAATCCGAATGTTTATTTATACTGGAGGAATCCGATTAGCTATAAAGCTGTCCAGTAGGGGCGGGTGAGAACATAACAACAACAATACAAAAACATGACAGTTATGCAAAGTACAAGAAAGGTAAACAAATCACCAAAACACAAACATTCAAACAAAACTAAACCATTCCCATCCTACCAGGAAAATCTTACTGAGGTATTAACTTAATATTTATGATATAAACTGAACATTTATACAGCAGCATTTGTTTCATCCAGCAAACGCTGGGCCGGTTACGACCTTCTAGATCTCAGCAGCAGACCCACCCCCTGATCGTGTGTTTGTGCAATACCTGCTACAAGGCTTAATGACGGGTTGTGATAGTTCAAACCAACCTAATTTAAATACAGCAAAGTTCTAACACAAACGCAATCAAAATACTGCGCATTATCTGGGTTGTAAATGTTCCTACAAGTAGACCTCTTAAGTTCCGTCCACAATGAGTGTTGTTGTCAGATCTGTGCACGTGAACACTGAGAAGTCAACGAGTGGCTTTAATTTGCCCAGAACCCATTGAAATTGATCGCTAAGGATGACTCGCGACTCTTAGACTTGAAGTGCCCTGCACCAAAGTATAATTTTCGCAAACAGCTCATCTCAACCTCGACGCGAGGTCGCAAATAGCTTCCGTTCTCGTCGCGTGGGTTGTCGAGCGAGCGAGCGATTGCGCAGAGTGACTCGCGTCCTCGTAGCGGCCCTTGACACCCGCACGGCAGCTTGTTGTGGCGCCTTCAGAGAGCGACTTCCCAGATGACCGCACGAGCCTCCGCAGAGGGGCCCCAGCGTACCTCGGAAAGATTTCGCGAGTAACATCGCGACTCCTCCTGCCCCACCCCCCCCCCCCCTAACGGTGTTGTCCCAGTCTGCAAGTACACGGTGCACGAGCGCTGTGTGGCACGGGCGCCCCTCTCCTGCATCACCACCTATGTCAAGTCCAAGAAGGATGCCAACGTAAGCCCTCGCCCCGTTATACTTCACCTGTGCGCGTCGCTAAACAGTGGAGCGTGTGTGTGTGTACGCAAGCGGTAGTGTAGCATTTAGTGCGCTGTGCGATGAACCCGGCGACCCAAGTTCGATTCCCACTCACGGCCAACACCAGTGACGATTATCTGAACTGGTCTTGGGCCTCCCCGAGGTCGACTCAGCCTCAAATTAGTACAGTACCAGGTGCAGAGTGTAAACATCGCCACTGGTGAGACAAAGGCGGCCGGGTATGGTGCTGGCCACCCACCCCCTCGTGTGCCGTGCCAGCCTTTATCGGCGCTCGCTAACTAAACGTGCCCCAACCGTCTGTGAAGGCTACAGGGGGGATCTTTGTATAAGCAATTCAGAGTTTCTTATGGTCATTTTAAACAAACCATTGACAATGGAATTTGTTTTGCCAGGTTCGGCATGTTTACATTTACTCTGTGGTAAATACATAACTCACTCTTGTAACCCCGCGATGATATCACACGTGTATAGTCATGTCAGCCCCTTTGCCAAAGCCACTGCTGGATAAAAGGCCCCCTCGTGCTGTCGGCAGTGAGGGCTGTTTGACCATACTTCACCACGCTGGTCAGTGCGGGTTGGTTAAAGTAAGTCGGCGGTTGGCGGGGAGGGGAGCCCGGGACCGGTTCAGATATCAATCATCACTGATGTTAGCCGTGGCCGGGAATTAATTGAGGTAACCGAGTTCATAGCACAGTGCGCTAAACCCGATGCCATCACACTCACCCATTTGTTAATTGAGAAGGTGTCCCTAAGAAAGCAATGGTAATTATCTCCAGCTAATTTCATTAAGTTCTTCAATCATTTCCTGCAGCTCACTAACGTTGGATGTTATAATGACTTTGTCATAAGTTTAACCTGCGATGGTTTAATACTTTCACCGTTCATGTTAAAGCATATTAAAATTGCATAGCTGCCCCATATATGACGAGGAGAAAAAGAACCGTCTGGAGAATGGGATGCTTAAAAATTCAAGGGGGAAATAAATAAATATGTCTCAATTGCCCAATGCTCGATTTGGTTGAAGTCACTATCTGTCTCTCCAAGTACTAATTACATGATATTTTAAGTCTACCGATGCTATAATGAACAATATGCAGGTAAGTGTGCAGCTATACTTTCCTATCCTCAAACTTATGTGACTGCCCGTCGCACGGTCTGCACGCAGATCTAATTACCGCTTGTGTTGCAATCGAAACGTCGTGATATTTATTTAATTTAATTTTTCTACCTACGTGATTTTACCGAAAGAACCAAAGAGTATAGGTCTAATTACATTTACTAAACCTGACAAAAATAGCTAAACTTGTAACCATTCTCAAGATTTGCCGATATATCTTCTTTTCAACATATTTCAAAATAATAACGTAATCACAATATTAGTGCATTGCTTTATAAACCCTGGTGATCTAAGTTCAATTCCTGGAAACCACTCTCAACGGTGGCGTGAGGTTTCTCAACCGGTCCCGACTCCTCGTACACCCACCCGCACTGACCACTGCCGTGGTGAAGTATGGTCAAATAACCCCCACGACCTGCATAGTGTGGGTGGAGGCACTCACTCAACAGTACATTGACACATGGGAACGGACGTGTACATCATTATCACGATTAACATTACTGACACGATGATTATTTATGAACCACAGTTGTATCTGTCTCCGTTGAACGTGGCCTTGCAGAAAGTGATGCACCACTTCTGGGTGGAGGGGAACTGCCACACCAAGTGCCACAAGTGCCACAAGGCCATCAAGTGCTACCAGGGCCTCACCGGACTGCACTGTGCTTGGTGCCAGATCACCGTGAGTCGGGGACACGGGAGATTGGGCGGCAGAGATCAGCCTGGCGAGGCATGCGGGCAGCGAGGCTGGATTAACCGAGAGGCTTTAAGGTGCCTGAGGCCCAGGGCCTTGGATATGTTTTAATTATCCCCAAAACAATGTATACTGTACTTGTTTATTTTATATATATAAGGGACATTTGTGAATATGTGTGCCTGTTAGAAATGTTGAGCATACTTCCCAACATGCAACAGACTTGAAATTTGGCATGTGGGTAGCTTCCAGACTGTACACAATGCAAAAAGTATAAAAATAGACTTTTGTATTTGGGGGGGGGGGGGGCGCACTAATGGATATATTTGAGTGGTGACGTCACATCTGTGATGTCACCTGCATGCGGCAGCATCACGCAGTGTGCCTGCTGACGTCACTTATCCCCCCCCCCCCACCCTCCGCGAAGCCGGGTAGTAAAGCTAGTTCATAATAATCGGGGATTTTTTTGGGTTAGTTCACAGCCAGTAAGGTTTGTAACGTAAACACAGCATGCCAATGAGTTACTGCTTCAGCACAACGGTGTGTTGTAAAGTAAACCCACAACATTTACAATTCGAGTACGACGTTTCGCTCCCAAAAAAAACGTTGTTATAGATAATATTGGTGACGAAAGGCTACGTGTTATGCTGCTTTATGATGGCTGAAACGCACTTGTTTGCGCTTTGAGAAATCATAATCGGTCACTTGGTCATTCAAGATATAGAACTACAAATGCGTTATTTTTTGTTTTTTTAGATCTGAATTGGCTTTACAATTCGTACACCACAATTAAAAGACCAGAACTGAAATAACCGTGGCGAAATTAACAAATGCAGTATTTGGCATTGGGCATGCAATAGTGGTCAAACAGTAAAGGGAAGAAATGTAATATTACAAAGCGGGAGCCCCTCTACCTCTGACAGCCCTGGGCCCCCATCAAACTTAATCGGGCATACAGCAAGGATCATGGGTCGAATGGTAATGCTGGCATTTGCCATCTAATGTCTTGTTTAAACGATTGTTTACATGCCATATATATGACGTGGACCTACAGCAAACTACGTTACGTACACGAGGGTACGCGGGCGTTGAGTGTGCCGCTCTTGTGATCACGGCACTGCGTGCGTTTTGAGATGCAGTCCGGCGTGCGTACGTGATGTAAACCCACGTCATATTGTATGTGGGTCAGTGTGTCACACAGCTGCAAAGGGCTTATAAGACTGAAAATAGATTGCCACCACTCTCATCATGTCATTCATGATCATGTGCATGGTCCACCATAATACGCATCTGCACATTTGATGCACAAGTGCAACTGTGGTCATCCAGAACAAGCCATACAACACATAACGATGGAATGCCCAAGCCACAAATACGAAGGAGGCATCACAACGATACACTTCATTGCTCCTGATGCAGTTACCTGGCTTGACCACCTGAATGTGAAATTGTAGTTGTTGTTGTTGTTTTGCATCTACATCATCCATACTCAAGAAGATTTGCTAAGATGTGTTTGCTGATACCTAAAAACCACATTTCTGTCGTTTTGAGAATTTATTTTGTAAACCATTCCGAATTGGTCAACACGGAACTCTGTCGACCCGAACAACTCCCCACACTTATCACGGTTCGACATGCCAGAAAGGGGTTTCAGAACTTCTCAATGACCTAGTTACGCCATCATTATCCACCGTTTCACACTCTGGCAGCAGTACTGATGTGAAATAACAAAGGCTCATCAGAGATCGTTTCCACAAGCAAGCACGCACGTTCGCGAACAAACAAGCAAGCAACGCGCCACGCTAATTCGTCACATTCTGTTCCAACAACAACAAAAACCTGAGTCACCCAGCGCCAGCACATTGAGAGAAAAGGTCAATATCTAATCTGCTGGGTCAGGATTTGGGAGCGCAGCAGGAGTTGAGTCACCGCTATGCTGTATCCCTGTGGGCGTAAAGGGGTGGGTGGCTAGGGGCTGGTGGGGTGAGTGGAAGGATGATCAAGGCTGCAGCGCCGTTACTTGCAACCGTTTAGCACCGTCGCCAGTGTGACCGGCAGTGCGGACACAATTACCCGTACGTTGAATTTTTTTCGCACTGTGCGTGGCCAACCGTGCTAATCCGAGGCGCGGGGGGAGGGGGGGGGAAGCACTACAAACTAAACACAAATATCAGTTCTAAAGAAATTAGTTTTAAATTTAGATGTAAAAGTGCACAGCTCCAGTGGCGTTCTAATATCGGATGGAAGAGCGTTCCAGACGGCCCCAGAAGCGCAATCTGATGGAAAAAAGCCACCGCTGCTGCTGCTGCTGCGAGGATGACCGGGGTGTGTGCGTGATGGTGGTTTACCCGATCCCCTCCAGCTCATTAAATTAGGCCGTGCGTGCCGCCACCGTTCACAGCTGCAGCTGCTGCTGCTGTTGTTGCTGTGACACATTTCTCACATGGCCTTGCAGCCGATGATGCCATTGGGGCATTGCCGCTGCACGGACATATTCTCTGTTTGTGTGTTCTGTTTACGTTGCGTGTCGTGTGTTGCGCAGTGTCACTGTTTGTGTTGATAAACGGCACGATATGCATTCACGTTGTTGCAATTATTATTGTTGCCACATTTTACTCGGCAGCACAGATAAAAAGAGCATAATTGTACGTGAAAATTAATAAAGGGGATCGTTAGTTGTTATTGTTATTATAACCTGAAGCCTTTTTTCAGTCATACATGATGTTGGGTTGTAGTGGTGCACGCCTGTGATCACGCGCCTTGGAGGCAAATGTTGGTGGATCGCATCGAGATTTGTGAAACTCCCAAACGTGCCGGGCTGCGAGTTCGGCCACGAGGTGACAGCAGAGAGAGTGGGTTCACGAGACCAACACGTGTTAATGGTGTTATCCACTTACACGTGTGGGATTTCTCCGGTTACTGCCGTTACCAACGATTTGGACAACACTCCGTAAAAATAATAAAAAAAACGCGAGAGTAATGGACCCACACATTGCCTCAATAAAAATCGATATCTTTTAAATATGTGAGGGCCAAGACTTGTCAACGCAGGGCCCTCCTGAAAAAAAAACGAGTTGTTATAGAGTTAAGATGTCCCGGGTAAATATTAGAATAGTATGCTTGTGATTATATCGTAGTCACGGGAAAACGTTGCTCATTTTGCTGGTAATTGCTCAGAAATCCGTAACAATGGCAGTGATGGACAGCTGAGCGAGTGCGAGTTTCACGCACTGTGCTTCCCACGCCGCCACACAGCTGCACAACAAATGTGCCTCGCACGTGAAGCCGGAGTGCGACTGTGGGCCCCTCAAGGATCACGTGCTGCCCCCCAGCTCCATCTGCCCCATCGTACTCGTGAGCTGCACCCCCCCCCCCCCTGCCCCCACTCCCACACTGAACTCAAGCTGTCAATGTGGCTCTATTCCACAAGGATGTAGTCACCGGCTCCAGTCTCTGTGTTGTGGTCAGCACATCCACACATCCATACGTGGGTGTACGTGATTTTTCCACCTTATGGAAAATTACGCTGCTACTGTTTTTACCAGTTGTTCTCGGCCACTGTGTGTAAAGGAAAAACTGGGTCACTACCTCTCTGACATTGAAGTCAGATTTATAGATGCAAATATACTCTTTGGGTCTTTCGGTAAAGCCACGTAGATAGAAACAAAAATATCACGACGTTTCGATCGCAACACAAGCAATCGTCATCAGGTGAAAAAATATAGAGAGCTGCTGAGGCAAAACCCAAAGAGGATTAATTCCTGCAGTCACGAAAGCTTTAAGTCAAGATGCAAATATATTGGTGCTAACAGCACTTGACCCCAAAAGTCTGTAACGGCTATACGGGGTTTTTTGACTTTTATTGCCATGCAGCATTGAACACGTTGATGATACAAATTGCATCCTTTAAAATGCCTGCATTTCTGTGAAATAGGATTACGACCTTCCGATGATACTAAACTTAATTTTATATATATGGATAGCTTAGCGTATGCACCCCATAATCGATACTTTATAGAACTGAGCAAGTTGATGTACATTTTTTTGTAAAAATTTAAAAACTGGAAGTGAACGCACAACACAGGTTCGTTAGCAAAGGCAGCAGTGTGTGTGTGAATAATCCTGTATATGGGCATCGTGTGTGTATACATGTGGGGAGCGGTGGCGCAGCGGTTAGCGCGCTGTGCTACGAACCCGGTGATCAACACCAGTGACGATTACCTGAACCGGTCCCTGGTCTCCACTCGACTCAGCCTCAAATGAGTATGTGGTGTGGTGTGTTAACATCACCACTCGGGAGACAAAGGCGGCCGGGCGTGGTGTTGACCACCCTCCCTATCATGTGCCGTGCCGGCTTTTTTCAGTGCTCGCTAACAGCACTTGCCCCAAAATTATGTTAAAGCTATACGGGGCAATCTTTGTTTTGTACATGCCACACTACCTGCATAGGTGTTCGCTAACAGCACTTGCCCCGGCAGTTTGTTAAGGCTATACGGGGGGATCTTTGTCTTTGCCTGTGCCACATCTGCCGGGTGGCGGCGGGCAGGACAGGAAGGCCACGCTGCAGAAGTCGGAGAGCAGCTCCCCGACCCAGCAGCGGCGGACGAGTGAGAGAAGCAGCATGCGGCGCGAGAATTCAGTGACGCTGGAGGGACAGGGCCTGCAGGTGTCACTCTCTCTCTCTCCAAACGCGACACCCACACAAAGCCACCCAACAACCGCGCCAACCACCCCACGCGATCGTGCCAACCACTCAAGAACCACGCCGACCACCCTTGCAACCGCAACAACCGCCCAAAAATATTCATGCAAACTACTCTGCAAGCACACCAACGATTTCATAACCACGCTGGCCACCGTCTATGACAGCAACGAGCACCCCCCAACCGCACCAACCATCCTCCAGCACATCAACCACAACACAACCCCCCCCCCACCCCTCAAACCTCACTAACCACCCTCTACCGCAATAACCACCCCCAACCTGCCCCAACAACATTAACCGCACCTGACCGCATCGACCACACGTAACCTGGGCCCCGAGTTTGACAGAATTTCCCATGCTTTGTGAGAACGCCGGTCCGGCACATCGGCAAGGAGTGCTGATGGGAGTGCCTGGAGGGGCGCTTGAGTTGTAAACCAGTCCCAGGGCGAGACTCGGGTGTTGGCGGAACAGCAGTTTCCGCAACTTTTGCTGGGACGGATGGTCAAATGATTGATGTTTTTTCTGCTGATTTGGCATTTTCTTTTTTTTTTCAACGATGACCAACAGAAAAATGGTTTCCATCAACGCATGAATGTGGCGCCAGATGTCAGAAACAAAGATGTCAGATGCGGTGTCTAATTCTGGCACTGGAAACTCGTGAATGTACTTCCTTTTACGTAAGCCTGTGTTAAAAAACAATAAGGCCGCTATCGCTGTTTAGTCTTCAATTGTTTCGTCGTTTTACAAATTATATTTCAATTGTGCTTATCAGCATCCCCCGTAGAGAGCAGTGACCCCCGTGTGAGAGATTGGTCCGTGAAAGATGATATCGCAAAACTAATTCTCAGATCCATTCAGTTGCCTCTTATCCACACTGGATTAATTGAATGATGTCGTTCATTTGGTATTCGCGCCATTCTTACAGTGCAAGGCCATCGCGATGGATGGCGCAGTGTTTCACGGACACAGTCTGCAGCTGTTTCCCAAGCGAAGAATGCTTCGTACTCAGAGTTGGAAAGGCACTAAACGAAGTTGTGCACCAAATTAAATATGATGGATGGGGGGCAGGGGGTGGATTTATGAAGTCACTGGTGACCAGGCTGATACCACCAACTCTCTGCACTTAATAACCCGGTTTTGATCGTGGGTTGCTCCGTGGATTTGATCGCTGATCCAAGATCTCAGCGGTTGCTAGCTCATTGCTACAAGCCATCTGATCACATCTCACTGTTCAAATGTGTCGATCTATATTTGAACAATTTTTTGTTGAATAAAGATTATTTTTCGACTAAAACTGCCACCCAATTGGTGTCAAACACCTTGAGTCAGCAGCGGCGATACACCTTGCTATTCTGGATCAACCGTTGCTTTAGAATTGCCGTATTCAACAAGAAGTAAACATTTTTGGAAACCGGTACAGTATTCCATCGTTATTCGCGAGGGATACATTCCAGAGATGCTCGTGAAGAGCAGATTTTGCGGATAATGATATTGGCCGACAAAAAACAATCTTTTGAATTAACTACCTTAAATAATAACGTAAATAAGCTATTAAATACATGAAAAGTATCATAATAGCACATCTCTTTAGCTCATCACATTCTCTCTCGTCACTTTATCTCGCCACTTTCTTTCCCACCCTTTCTCGCAAAGCAGTCGTGCAGAGTTCCAGATGCGATTCGCGGAGAGCCAAAATCGCGGATAGTGAGTTCGTGAATAACGAGGGAATGCCGTTGCTTGCAGCAATAGCACTCAGCAGACGGTGCCACAAACGAACCAAAAGAACCAGAGGTGGGACAAAGTCATTGTTATGCAAGTCCAAGTCGAGTCTGAAGTCATCAAATTCATGACTCGAGTCTGACTCGAGTCCAAGTCACATGACTCGAGTCCACACCTCAGAGGTGGAACAAAGTCATTGTTATGCAAGTCCAAGTCGAGTCTGAAGTCATCAAATTCATGACTCGAGTCTGACTCGAGTCCAAGTCACATGACTCGAGTCCACACCTCTGAAAAGAACTGCATTGTGGATCGTCAACCGTTTGCCTCCTTTCTCAGATCACGCCTGTGCTCGGGACTCATCCACTCCTGGTGTTCGGGAATCCCAAGAGTGGCGGGAAGCAAGGCGACAGGTAAGGTACCACACTGCATCACCCATTCTGTGTCATTAATAATGGTTTTTATTTGGGTTAGATCACGTAAATATGAATGTGTCGTGACAACAACCAACGTTGCCAGCACAGTGTGGTACTCCGGAGATCGAACTTAATTCGTTCCAGAAGGCCATTCGAACACCGATTTGTTTGAACACCGAATTAATTTTACCCATAAGAATTAATGTAAATGACATTAATTGGTTCCAGACACACGAAATCTCTCATTATTAAGCATTTTTACACGAAGTTTACAGTAATTAAATGCATAAAATCATACAAAAAAACAAGAAACAATTAATAAATGGAATAAATGAATAAATATATGGAATAAATGAAATTAATGGACATTGAACTTCACTTTACCTGTAGTAAGGAGAGTTGATGGCTTGAGTGGAAGGTGGTGAGGAGGAGGTGGTGGTGTCATTGTTTGGAAGGGGAGTCCCCTTTGTCTGGGCAAGCGTCATGCACGCTGGCCATACGCGTCTCAGCCGTACAGGTTCATTCAAGTCGCGATTGCCCGTTCGACCTCCGAATTTCGTTCGGTTTCCGGAGCAAAAAATGTTCGGAAATATCGTTCGAACACCGATTTGTTCGAGTTCTGGTTCGTTCGATCTCCGATGTTCTACTGTACATGTCATCTTGTAAGTCAGGCCTCAGAACATAATGGGATGGATGCTGCAATGGTGTAACAGTTATCACACTGGCCCTGAAATCCATCAGTGGGCCGGTCCTTCTTCTGGCACGGCAGTTAAAACAACATGGCAGGTTTCTTAAATCAAGACATCTGGCCACTGTGGAAGAATAGGTCGAGAAGGGCTCTCCTCGAGCCCATCTCGTGGAGGCCTTACCACCAGCAGTGGAATCAGCTCCTTCACCTGGATAAGGGGTCAGCAACCTGCAGCTCTGGAGCCACGTGCGGCTCTTTAACGACTGCTTTTTTACCGAACTCGAAAAAAATGGTTCCTGTTGTTATTTTGGTTGCCGACCCCTGACCTATACCGTCCGTTATATCTAAACAATTTTATTTGCCAAGGAAAGCCCACTGAGCTGTTATGATTTTTTAAGAAGCGACCTGGCCACAAATGATAGCTCAACGAAGTGGCTCAGCATGTGGAAATTTATAACAGCTAAATTTGGAGGGGGAAAAACAGAGGATCCGGAGAAAAATCCACACGACCACGGGGATAGAAATGCAAACTCCAAATATACAGACGTCAGGGTCGGACTTGAACCCACGACCTCCTGCATACCAGGCGAGGGAGTTAACATATCACCACAGCAAACCTATGGCTCCTCCACGGCCAGGCCTCAGCACGTCGCTCTGCTGCAAGGAGTTTTCAGTCTGATAAGGGTTTGTGTAGCGAGTGACTGAATGTGACATCTCAGTGAATTTGCATGGCCGGCAGTGGAGTGTGGCATGAAGAGTGCATGAAGGATGTGCGTTACGGTTAGGCACCTCGAGGAGTTGGTGTTGAACAAAAGGTGTGGTGTAGGTATGATTTATTATTATTATTTCCTGTGGGATGTTTCATAGGTCATTAAATGCCTTGTTTTTCTGTTGCTATATTTAGTTGCTTTTTTTTTACATTTCGCTGTGCAGGATATTGAGAAAAATTCAATATCTCCTGAACCCAAGGCAAGTGTATAACCTCGCCAAAGGGGGACCCATGCCAGGGTGAGTATCTTGCGCGACTCAATTAAGCATAACAAGCGATTGATGGAAAGAACAATACAAATGTGGCTAGAATCCAAGGGAGAACTCGCATTACTTGCCAGAGAGGGGTAGAGGATGTTCTGCTCTAGAAATAAAATTCACAAAAAAGCAATGATGCACGTATTGTGTCACGTGGGAACACGGTAAAGGAGGAGATTGTAGTCCTGTATTGCCTTTGAGGACCTGAAAGACAAACATGGACACTTGTAATGGGTGGACGTGCGTTTGTTGGCTTTCTACCGCAATGCGGACGGACGTGAAAACAGAGCGCCGTTTGACATTCAACTGCACAAAATAAAACTGAAGTCTTGCATCTGTTTGATTGCGTGAATAATTCACCACCTTAAGTGCATGTTTATAAGCACAATATAAGCACCCAATATGAAGGGAAATCTCACTTTGTGACGAACACATTATTTAAGCGTAAAAAAAGACAAAAATATAAAGATACACCCGAAAGCTTTAAACGTACTGTTGGGGCAAGTGCTGTTAGCAAGCGCCTAATAAGACCGGCACAACACACTAGGGGATGGGTGGCCAACACCACTCCCAGCCACCAGTGCTAATATTGAAACACCGCACCAGGCACTGTACTCGTTCTCTGCGATATTGACGTTTGTGTCTTTGTTTTGTTGTTCGCCGTGCTCACGGCACCTCGGATCTCCCTTGTAAAATAGCCGGGCAGCTGGCTCTAACGAGACCATCTGTGTAACGAATAACAAAAATAAACTTGCAAAAATATGTAAGGCGTGAGTCGAACCGAGGGGAGGTCCAGCGTGAGTGGGAATTGAACTCTGGTCGCCGACCTCGTGGGGCAACGCTCCAGCTACTACGCAAACCAGCTCCCCCCTTTTGAGGCACGTTTATACGGCGGCGACGTATAAACGCCGCAGTGCCTGCAGCTGACAACGGAGGGGGGAATGTCTCACGCTTTTTCTCACGGCAGGCTGAGCTTTTTCCGGGATGTGCCGGATTTTCGAGTCTTGGCTTGCGGCGGTGATGGCACCGTTGGATGGGTCCTCGACTGCATAGGTCGGTCCGGCCGCCACCTCTCTGACTCGACATTAGGAAACAAAAACAACAAAAAATAAACGCATTTCCTTGGCCACTTGTGCAAACACAGACTTTTGGATGGTCTTAGAACTTACCCAAAAAAAAAAGATTTTACAGGGTATAAGCGCACACGTGTTTTCGAATTCTGCTGGCTGTAGGGACAGGATGCTGTAGTCAGGGCCGGATTAAGTTTAAGGGGGGGCTCGGGGCTGTTATAGTTTTGGGGGTCCCATCTTTGTCAATTCTATTCCTTCCCTTGACTGTTTTACCACCACCTGTGCCCAATGGTAAACACTTTCAATGTTGTTCACCTTGTTAATTTGAGTTATAATTTTCGTTAATGCGATATACGAATATATACATTTTGGTACATAATTGGAAGTTATACACACATTGATGCAATGGCTTTCATTACCAAATGACACAGATAAGATCTATCATAGTGCGACAGCACTGCATTTCAACCATTATAAAGCAGATGCTGCAGTGTTGTCATCATTATCATCACATTAGACTTGCAATCCAGAGGTTGCCGGTTCCATTTGATTTCCTGGCGCGGCAGCTGAAACAATTGGCAAGCTTTTTTAAAGTCCCCCACTGCGTCCTTCCAGCCAGAAGTATAATTGAGTAACACCACAGTTAAGTCCATCGGCAGGTCATGTGCGGTGGGCTGAGGTGTGGGCTACTGCCACGTCTTGCAAGACATTTGGCCAGCATGGAAGAGTGGGCCAATGGAGAGAGGGGGTTCTCTAAACCTCCCTCGAGGGGAGGCCCTTCCGCCAGCAGGGGCACGTGCAAGCAATTGCAGCGCTGCACCTTTGCCACTCAACCTCTCAGATATTTCTCGGGGACTCCTCAAAATTCGAGGCCTCGGGTCACAGCCACTAAAGGCCCGGCGTCCATTCAGCCACGGCTGCAGTAATAGCAGTGACCCTCGGGCAAAGCATTCTTCGACATTTGCAAAGCATTTGACTCGTATTCAAAGCTCCGCGTTCAACATCGGAAAGTGTTTTTCCTTCTCTCTTTCTCGCTCCCACTTCCGCGCGCTGCAGACAAGGCTGGCCTGACCAGACACCCGCCCGTGGCCGTACTGCCCCTAGGCACAGGAAATGACTTGGCCCGCTGCCTGAGATGGGGAGGAGGTACTGTATGTTTACTCTCTGATGGGCGTCTGGCTTAAGAAACACGGCAGAAATCACGACTTGCGTGGGTTTTAACTTTTAGGTGGGGAGGGGGGTATATCTTTCACTGCCTGGCACACGCATGTTTTGGACGATTCTCATCGATACACCAAATCCATGCGCATTCTCTAGCCGGAGCGGCTGTTTAACGCGCGAGGAAAAAATGCATGCAGGCGGGATACAAATAAAGTAATGTATGCAAAAATGTTTCCTAAGTGGAAGAAAAAAAACATTACCGGAATCCTAGCAAACCACGGCCTATGTTTGTGTGGTTAGACTGTATGGCTTGATGATGTAGGTTGCACTACTTGTTGTTTGGCATGGTGCCTGATGTGTCGCGGATGTTTCACTCCATGTGCTGGAAGCTTCTGCCGGAACAGTTCAGGATCAGTTCCTGGAACATTTTCCAGGAACGTTTCCTGGATTAGTTCAGGGACAGTTCCTGAAGAAGCTCCCAGCAAAGTGGCGCGAAACATCACTGACACGTCAGCGACATCATTCCGAACAATGTGGCAACTGAATGGCGGTTTTCATGCTTATTTGGACTCATCGGCACGGTATATCATCATGGTCTGCTGCTTCAGTTATGTACAGCGTCATTTTGTGTTTAGTTCATTGGCCTTCCCCCCCGCACCTCCGATTAGCACAGTTGGCTACGTAGGGCGCGAAAGAAGTTTAACGTACGTACATTGATCTTGATTGCTCAGTCATTGGTTCTGGAGACTTGTTGGAGGTTTGTTTTGGAGTTCGTTGCGTAATGTTGCTGGACTTTTTTGAAGGCTCCTCGCGCTGGGTGTGTTTTGTTCGCCGTGAAGGCTACGAAGGTGGCAGTTTGATGAAGGTGATGAAGGACATTGAGAACAGCTCCGTCGTGATGCTTGACCGCTGGTGGTTCGACGTGACTCCGCACACCTCGGAGGAGAAGGGTGACCCGGTGCCCTACTCCATCATCAATAACTACTTCTCCATGGGAGTGGTGAGCAGTACTGGTCATTGCGGGCAGTGCCTGATGTCGCCAAGCCATCGAGACAACGGTTGTACCGGCAGCCTCAGCTCGACTGGAAGATTGAGAGTCAGGAATGATTGGACAACATATATTTTAAAAAAACACGGCATTTTTAGCGAGTGAAAATTGGCTGAATTATGTCCTATACTTTTAAGTAGAGCAAACGTAAAATTTGCTTATACTGAGAAGTGCGCTGAAGCGGGGTTGGATTCCCGGTCAAGGCTAACACGGTTTGGTGAGTGATATTTGAAGCTGTACTAGGCCTCCCTGTACCAATCCAGCATGGTGAAGTATGTTTAAACGATCCCCATGACCGAAACAGAGTGGAGAGGCCTTTATCCAGCAGTGGGTTGACAAAAGGGTTGAAATTACGATTTTTATTACATATGTGTAAATGTTTCCGTGGGGTTACATGAGTTATGTATTTGCCACAGAGTAAATGTAAACATGCCTAACCTAGCAAAACACATTCCATTGCCAGTGGTTTGTTTAAAATGACCGTAAGAAAATCTGCATCACTTACACACACACGTATTTGGAGTTAAAGAGTTTTCAATGGCTTTGAGGGAGGAGCGGTGACGCAGTGGTTAGAGCACCGCTCAATGAACCCTGAATTCCATTCCCAGCCACAGCTAACATCAGTGTTGAGTGATACCTGAGAAGGCCCTGGTCACTCCGTTCACCAACTCACACCGGCCAGTGTGGTGAAGTATGGCAAAAAAACAAACACGACTGAAGCGGCATGGGGAGGGCTTCATCCAGTAGTGGTGAACAAAGGCTTGTAAATTCCAGCACACGTGGTAAATATATTTGACGACAGCTTTAACTAAGGACTGTGTCATATTCGTACTCTTCTGCTTTCCTATCCCATGTACCGCATTTAATCCTATTCCAGAATGTAACGCGAAGTGTGTGTGTGTGTGTGCGTGCATTGCTTATTTGTTTATCCCAACCACAAGGACGCGTCCATCGCACACCGGTTCCATCTGATGCGTGAGAAGCACCCGGAGAGGTTTAACAGCCGGTACGTGGATCATCAACACTCGTGGCGGCGTTGCCACTCACTTCCTCCCCTTCCCACCCCCTGCCCCCACCTTCCACCGCTGGCTGCTCCCAACTGCGGCGGTGGCACTGCCCAATCCGCTGGCGCTCCTGCTGCCTTTTAGAGTGTTTGGCCGCTTTAAATGACGATGATAAGCCACTTCGTTGAGATGTCATTTGTGGCCAGGTCGCTTCTGGAAAAGAGCTACGTAGCTCGGTGATAATATCCAATGGTTAAATACTTAGTCAGCAGATTTCCCCACCACGAGGCGAAGGAAAGGGGAGGGAGGGAGGGTGTCCAGGGAGGTGGTGGGGGAGCAGTGGGGGGGGGGGGGCAGGGTGGAGAGAGAGGTGGGGGGGGGGGTCCTTTGTTGCCTCCTGGCGTGGCAGGGCCGCCCTTTTACTGGCATTTAGCCGCAGTCACACATCGCCGCTCCGCTTCCCATTCCTACTGGTTGTGCCGCCGCTGCTCAATTCACCGTCCTGGTTAATCTTCAGAGAGGAGAGGAAATGAGAGGGGGTGGCAGGCGGGGGAACCTGGGCAATAAAGCTCACTCGCCATGTAATTGTCAATCAGAATCCGTCCCTGTGATCAAGCAAGCCCTAACTCCATCACCGCATCCCCCCCCCCCTACCCAAACCCATCCCCCAGCCCACAACCGCAAAACCCCCTTAACCACCGCCACCACATCCAGCCTCGTGCTGCGGTGTTTTAATATTTGTAATTTTGATTATTTTGGAGCGGTGGTGCAGTGTTTTTTTCTATCTTCATTTGACCAGGTAAGGCCCACTGAGCTATGAAGCTCTCTTTCAGAAGCGACCTGGCTATCGCAAAGGATAGCTGAGCAAAGTGGCTTATCACGTGGACATTTTTTCGAGCAACAGAATACTCTAAGCGCACTGCAAGCTACGAACCCGGTGAATTGAGTTCGATATCCCGGCGACAGATAACAGCGCTGGTTAGTGATATCTGAATAGATCCTATGCCTCCTCCCAGCCCTTCAGCAATCCGCACTGACCGACGTGGTGAAGTATGGTCAAACAACCCCCACGCCCGATATGGCATAGGGAAGCGTTCATCGTATACCAACAATATATACTGCTGGTGAAAACAAACCCAGCTACGTTTTGACGCACAGTCAAATATAGCCTCATTTTCTATATCATGTAAACAAATAATGTTTGCTTTTTATGCCAATTATTTTTAAATAAGGCAATGTAAAGCAAATATATTATTCTCGATTTGAAGTTTTCGTGACTGCAAGGATCCCACTTCAGTAAAATGTATTGCTGTGGTTGTCACACCTGATGATGATTGCTTGTGTTGCAATCGAAACGTCGTGATTTAATTTTTTTTACGTGACTTTACCGAAAGAACCAAGAATACAAAGATATTATGATCTATTCTAGAGTACAAAGCCGTACATATCACGTCTTTTCATTTTACCTAGCTAGATAATGGACCGATACCATATGTATGTATATTAACCACTTAATGATAAAACCATGCCCTTGTGGCCAACGTTATAGCGTCTGTTATTCAATTATAATTAAATCAGCATACAACATGAGTAATAAATAATGAAATATATTTTAATTGCACCACTTCAAAAAGACATGGCTTTTTATGGCTTTCCAAGTATCAATCAAAGTCCCCCCTAACATTTAATCACTTGTATGACATCTGCGTAACATGTTGGCTTATTTGCTTTCATATAAATGTTTCCGAGAGCTCGCCAATTAATCGAATATCGATTTAACACGTAGGCTTTCGCAAACCAATATCATACATAATAAAGTAATTTGTATTTATTGTAGATCGATTTCATTTGAATAATATTACCAAGACGTCAGGTGGGTCTTGCAAAAAAATAACCGCCGGTAAAAATATAAATAAAGAAGGTGGCTGATGAATACGGATGAGGCCTTGTGTAGAGTGCCCTGTTTATGACAACGATGAGGTCACGTTGCATACAGCTCCTGATTGCATCATCGAGCGGAGTGGGTGGAGGAGTGCCGCGGTGGTGAAGTGCACTGCACTATGAACCTGGTAGCCTGAGTTTGATTCCCGGTCACCGCTAACATCATGGCGAATGATATCCATACAGATCCTGGGCCCCTTTCAACCAACCTGCACTGGCCAGCATGGTGAAGTATGGTCAATCGTAGCATGGGGGAAGCCTTCATCCATCAATTGATTGCCAAAGGGCCGTGGATGATTGAAGTTGTTGTTTTATCACGTCATGAGCTCAACGCAGTGAGCAGCGTCCATTGCTCACGTAACCTCCTACAAAGCGACCTAACCTGTCAACATCAGTGGTGATTTATCATGGCATCAATGGGGCAAGATTGTCCATCAAGCTGTAACTGTCACTTTTTGGAATATTGCATAGACGCTCATTGACTTTTGAGGACAAAACGCTCACAGTGTTGCAACCAGTGCTTCATTTCATGTCTATCCGGGTAGGTGAACCGGAAAATAAATTCCGCGCCCAACCAGCACACCGCATTCAGTATATTGTCTAACTGTGGCTGCGGCTACTCGTCACGTTCTAGATTTGAAGCTTTCGTGACTGCAATGATTCATACTCTTAGGTTGTTTCGGTAAAGTCACGTAGGTAAAAAATAAAATGAATAAGAGCAAAATAAAAATCACGACGTTTCGGACGCAACACAAGCTTCCATCTTCAGGTGGAACCGTCACAGCACGATTGCTGTATCAAGATTGCTGTATCAAGATACTTGATACCTGATACAGCAATCGTGCTGTGACGATTCCACCTGAAGATGGAAGCTTGTGTTGCGTCCGAAACGTCGTGATTTTTATTTTACTCTTATTAATTTTATTTTAATTTTTTTCCTACGTGACTTTACCGAAAAAACCTAAGAGTATACTCGTCACGTGCCACATACTCCAGTCTGCCAGCGGCGCAGATAATATTCAGCGAGAAATTAAGCCCTGGGTGCGACCCGTTAGTGCGGAGCCAACGCGTGCAGTGTTTATCGTGCAATGTTTGGTGAGCACTGACATGACGCGCAACCCACGCCATCACCCACCGTCACCTGCTCGTCGCACACAATGTTCCTGATGCTAGGCTCACTCAACATTTATTCGTTTACTCAGCGCTGCCTGACCCCTGTTTTGCTCGGTGATTAGTGTTACATGTTTAAATCATAGCACATGGCATCTGCTGTTATGGTTTGTAGCCACACAAATCAGCCAGTTTTGTGCAGGGCACATAGGTAGTTAGTAGGAGTGGATTTTTGGGGGATACACTCAAATATTAGGATTTTTAAAGACAATTTTGGATCTTGTTTGGATTTTCAGATCATTACGAATGTAAAATGTCCTCTTGTTAACAAAAGTGACATCACCCGATGCCACGTCCGGGTTTTTGGATCAGACCAACATTTTATATCTCGGCCCAATTTTCTGATTGTTTTGGATTCATCCAAAAACTTGGGAGTACTTCCCTTGTAGTTAGGCAGATGAAGAGCTCGAGAGAGGAGTTCGATACGTGTCATTAAACTTTCTCATAATCATCGTCTGCTACAATACACAAAGAAAGGATAAAAATACGTATCGTTAAACTCGGTGGTGGTTTTGTGAACATTGTCATGTTGACACTTGTTTACACGTGTTTACTCTTGTTTACACGTGTTTACACTTATTTGTGCATGCTTACACGTGTTTTTTACATCTACACAGCATCGCATTCACACCTCTAAGAGCAGAGTTCACACTGACAAACGCAGGCTTCCGGATGGTGTTACAATGATAAAGCCACTCAACAATACCGGGCTGTTAGAGCGCACAATTTTAAGATCACGAGCAGGGCGGTGGTCCTTCCTTTTGAGAAATAGAATGGGATTGTCGTCGGACTAAGCCCTTCTAAAACACGCGATCGATGTCCACGGCAAGCCTTGTCAAACACATAATATTGTTTCTTTGCGCATCAACAAACTGGGGAGTCTCCAATAATGCCGTCCTTAATTTCGTGTGGCCATCTCGACGATCGCCTAAATGAGGTCGAGCTCGAGAGGGGGGGTTGTGGGTCACGACTGACCTCCAGTGTAAACAGGGGCTGTGACTCGGTTGTGGGGACGCGGCCTTCATTGTTCCGTGTTCTCGCCCGTGTGTCTGTTTGGAGAGAGAGAGAGACGTTTGTGTTGGTGACAGTAGCCACTGTTATGATGGAGGAAATCCCAGCGGCGGTGACAATCAACCCTGGAGAGGGCGTACGTCACGTCGATTGAAAGCGCCATCGCATTAAGAAATTGCGGCGTGATTTTTTTTTTAAACATTCGTTCGATGAGCGGCTCTCTTTCTGAGTGTACATCCGAAGCGGCGCACGCGTTAATGTATTTTGCCGAGCATCCATATCCATTGCATGCCGAGAAAGAGCACGGGATGTCACGTCAAAATTCTCGCTCGACTCTTGTTTTTTTTACTGCCACATTAATGCCGCCTCTACGCAGAAGTACTGCGACGCGCAATAAAAACGATGGGCGTCATTGCTTGCCACTTCCAGCCCGGCGACTAAAAACAGCATGACTGAGCCGCACTTAACGACTGGTGGGACCCATTAAAACGCTTTGTACTTGTAGAATTCTACCTATTTGGGTCAGACCAGCACCCCGACGCCGCCTTTGTTTTATCCAGCTCGCACTGCAGCGTCATTTTCTCTGGCCCTTTGCTGAGCAGGAAACGAATAACGTTGATAAATAACTGTATTGTAGTCCACATGCAAATACAGTGCATAAGGCACCAGTTAATAATTGCTGACGTGTTTTTGTTATGTATTTTTACAAAAATAAGTTGGAAATATATCCCAGTTTTAGAAGAAACAACCCAATGCTAAGTGGTTGCAACATTTCTTTAGTCTGACTGAAATCTTTAAGCCGGCGAATGTTCTTGTGAAATTATGCCGATGTCTCCTCCATCAACAGCAATGGAGCAAATCATCAAGCAAATGTGTTTCA